CATCGGAGGTAAGACAGTGGGCCGTCTACCAAGGACATCAAATGATAAGTAGTTGGGACTTCCTATTGGCTATTATGTTAGGCCGTACTTCTGTACCAACATCAAAACTCTCAGACGGAGAGTAGATATCTAATCTCTAATTTATTTATCAGATACATTATTTAGGGCGTCTTACATAATTTTATAAGCTAACACATGTAGTTTCTATATTATTGCAAAACATTTGGCTCTGCCGAAATATATAGAAACAGGACGACTCTTAACGTAGGTCCAAAGAAAATAACCTTAAATAGAATTAATTAATTGGTCAATTAATTAAATTTATAAAAATGTCACAAATTAATAAAAATAGGGCTCTACCAAAATATATAGGAACAAGATCACTCATGACGTAGGTAGTTTCAAGGAAAATAATCTTAAATAGAATTAATTAATAGGTCAATCGATTAAATTAATAAAAATGTCACAAATTAATAAAAGTAGGCGTGTTATACTTTTACTGGGTGGTTCGATTGTGTTATCGATTAGACACATTTTCAGACTACCTACAGCCGCTACTCAGTAATTAACATAATGACCTATTGTAATTTAAATATAATGAATACTGATATTGTTGTAGATAAAAGTGAGACGGCGACCAATGTATCTTTCTTCTATTGCGAGTCAGTTACTTATTTATTACTAATGTAGGTAATCATCATATTTAATTAAATACGTCTTAACTCGAAAAAAGCAAACGATGTCGCGGCTACCATGTTGTATTATATAAGATAGTCTTTATAAGATAAGGAAGTGCCTATCTACCTATTTTATCAACATGGAGAGAAGCTATTTGATCACAATTCCTACGTAACAATGCGTTAACAAAATTATTTTAATATTATACGAGACGAAAAATACCATTTTGTCTTTAGTTCTAAGATAATATCGAACTACGAAGGTATAAAATGCAGTTTAGACATCCTGAACTCAGTAGAATAGTCTACAACTGGACTATAGGTACTGGTCTCTTCTAATCCAATGGCCCTGGGATAGAGTTTATATATGAGTATATATAGAGATATTCCTAGTATCTGGATCTATCACTGCAAATTACGAATATATATAATTTCTATAAATGAAATTATTTTAATATTTCTATACATGTTAAGTATATACTAGACAATTCCACACGAAAGTAAATGGATTTCAATTACATATATCGTAGAGCAAAAAACAGTATATGTATATTTTCTATACCAACACAAATATTAACATAAATATATTCCGTAACTGCATGTAGCTAAGTAGTTAGGAACTATGAGTTGCTGTAGCATGTATTGTTTGTTGTATTATGTCTGTGCTCTAATTAACTATAAACTTCGGTTCGGAGTTCCAGATCCAATTTGTGTAGCTGAAACTTTATAGGGTTAATAAAACCAGCGTTATATAAACACTAAATGTTACTTTAGTGTCAATATATATTGACTTAATTCATGTATACTTTCATTATAACATTTTGTTAAGATACATTTAAAAATATTATTAATGTAATACTTTACTAAACTGCCTAATATACCCCAGGTCAATAAATACAAAAGAATACGAGGTAGTTTGATATCAAATATAGTAAACAGATTTTGTGACCAAGACAAGAACCTACTTAGGACCAACTTGTGCCATATCAATCTTTAATTACATTTATCTGAACATGTGAAACTGTAAGGCGCAGCTGTAGTGATCAGTACTAACAAAACTATCAATCGAAAAAAAATTACCTTGAAATTATTTAAAATGAAAAATAATTATCTAAGATAATTATCTAATGACTGTATTCATCCATACTATATTTTTTTATTGTTATGCATCAGTGGACAACATCAGATAGCATTCATTCATTCAGTTATTATTACCATATAACCTACCTATTTATAGGTAGATAGAACAGGTAAATCATTTTAAAATTATTATTATCTTACCTACTTGTTTTTACCTACTATGTATTATTGTAGATACTTATAATGAGCATATACCTACCTGTTTACATACTAGATAAAAAAAGTACTAATGATGACGGTAAACATTTCATTGGACCAACCCGCACCGTGGATTCTGTATCGTAGTTAATGTATAGTCGATAAACATCTACTTATTTATTTTTTGGATAATCAACAGTATTTTAAAACATACGTCAAAACGTAAGAAAAACCTAAAACTTATAGCAATAAGGAATATATTTATTTATTCCCGCTGTCTTATCTTAGGACCAATTATAAATTGACACTGATGTGGAATGAAAATTAAAATGAGAAGCAGAGCAGAGACACCTAATAAGAATCTTAACCAATAACAAGATCTTCAATACAAAGTTTAAATTAGTAATCCACCAACGCAGCTTCTCAAAAGTTGTCTGGTCACGGGTAAACTGGTTAAGAACTAGTGTTGCCAAATGACTGTTTGACTTTCCTTCATTTCGTTTGTCCAAAATATCCCCAAAATTCACATTGTAATATAAGAAATCTTACAATAGACATATCTTTGTATTTATTTGGTAATTCTTGTTTTCTTTTTTACTTCAATGAATTTTCAACCCTTTTAATTTTTTAAGGAGCGTATTGTTTGTTTTTACCTATATGAACCATACATGCAACCATATCTATATTACATATATCCCAAATATTTGTTTCGTCTTTCTCTACAAATTCGCCCTAAATTAAAGGAAAAAAACCAGCAATCTGGCATCACTGTTCAGAACGGGCCAATTCCGAGACGAACCAATAGCGGTAAAATAATGTTTTTTGTCAGGTATGAAGCAATGAAGCGATGTTGAGTTTATAGAAAACTTACAATAGTTAATCATGCGGACAGACAATCTGATGAGAGTAATAACATTCCTGTACCAACATAATAAGCACATTTGTGATTGTAGGAATCACAAAAAAATTAAGGGGTCTTCCTATGTGATGGGTTGAAAAAATCATTTTTTTTTTTTTCATAAATTGCTCCCTTAACTTTGGTCTAGAATACGGTAGTAAAGCGATTTTAGAAAATTCGAAGTCGTTTTAAAGATACAGCAGGTTTACCGTCGGCTTTATACCTGCCTCCCTTTTATTAATATATTTGTTTATACAAGTTTAGACACGTTTCTACAGACTTAAACAGAAAAGGAGCAGGTAAACTTACTGATAAAGTTATCCAAGAAATTACAAAATTCTACGGATTAGCAATTCGACGCCATCCAGATTCGCTTGAAGATATGAGAAAGGAAGTTTGGGCAACGTACTATCACAAATGTTCTTCTGATGAAAACCCTCAGCATCAATTTTGTCCAGAAGGCGAAGACGGTTGGTGTAAATGGCGTAAGGATGAGCTAATAATGAACTGGACCAATTTCATCACGATACCAACAAGTCCAAGAAGCTATCAAACCGGTTTTCAAAGATTTATCGAAAGACGAATTATTAATTCGTTGATTAGAGCAGAGACACAAAAAAAACGAATCTTTAAATACTTCGCTCCTAAACATCTTCATTCTGGTCCCAAAGTTGTTGAAATCTTAGTAAGTTACTGTTCTTATTAATTAATAAAATCTATACGTATCTATAAAAGAAAACGTTTCCGCCGCTCTGTACGTATATTCGCGATAAACTCGAAAACTGCTGAACGGCTTTTCATGCGGTTTTCTTCTATAAATATAGTGTATCCTGAAGAAGGTTTAGGTGGACAATTTGTTAAGGTTTAAAGCAAATTAATAGAAATACCCATAATAAGACTATATAAATATGTCCCTACGTTGTCTACCTAATATAATAAAATATTTTGAATTTGAAAATTTGAATTTGAATAATATATAGTAAAAGAAGAATTAACACACGTTCCTGTCAATCCATACAAATTTTTAAATGTTTACATTTTAAATTACAAACTGTAGAGTACTTTGCATAATGATTAGGTACCTACATGCTAAAGATCATGCATGTCAGTGTCAGCTATTGAAACTGAGAAAACATGCCATTATTTATTGTCGTAAGTTTTTATCAACTACATGTTGATTATGGTACAGTGAACCACAACAGTGAACAAATTATGGCAAACTGTTATTTTATAGATGTTTGAGAGATAGACTGTGTACGGTTTCGTGATAAGATCTATCTTCACATTTGACTTAAGCCTTAATTTAGCCCTAAAAAGTGACGAGTAGACAGAACAAAATTGCCGTTTATAAATCTTTGAATGAATAGAGCATGCACAAAAATTAAATCAAAACCTTGATTTAGAGTTATCCTAGCTCTAAATCAAGGTTTTGAGCTACAAAAAATATTTTAAAATAAATTTACTTCAGTCGAATCTTCAAAAATTAATCGAATTACAACTAAATAGGTAGCTACTACGTCTGTATTATTTCATGTACATATTTATTTTTACACCGAAGATAGAGGAAATAATAGTATACCTGTAGGTACCTACTAGTGTCAAATTAGTTGTATTATAAATATATGTTGTTATTTATTTCTACTAAAATTATATTTATTATGTTCATACATTACACTGAAATTATATTATGAGGAAAATTTTTATGTTTAAAAACGGTATAGAAATCATGGTAGATGTATAAGTGAAGTGCTCTAAATAAAAGACAATACAATATTTGGTACATCAGTCACATAAAAATAGAAACATAACTCAATATTGATTGCACAGTTTCAATATATAGTTTTGAGTAGTTTCAATCATTCAGAGATTCTTGTATAACAGTAAAAATGCCTAAGGAATTATGTAAATGGAATGAGACTGAAGAATACTTGCCGTCAACAAAGATATACAGAGTATATTTATATTAGGCTGTTGTAGGATATTCTGTGAATAATTAATGAGTATTATATGTCAGGAAACAAGTAGGTAAACTCAGCCATTTTATTTTTTTATTTATGCATAACGGTCTCCGGGGTTATGTACATAACTACCTATTTTAGCTACACTGTGTCAGATTAATAATAGATATAAAAAGTCCAGGTACTTACTTGGTATCCCTCGGCAAAGTTTTGAATATCACATAAATTCCACGTCTGTAGCGGTAGATACACGGAGCGATCGCGAGTATGGCAAATATTGCCGCTTTTGAGAGCGTGCTGAGCACGGCGGCCATCGCGGCTGCCAGTGCCATAAGAGCGACGAGCGCTGCCAGTATCGCGTCCATGCTGGCGATTAGCCCAGTAGGACGCAACGACTAGCTATGCACCGGTAATAAACAATGTTCCCACTAGTGCGTGATTACACCGCTCGCACGGACGCGTCCATCGGCACACGAAACTTTAGCAGAAATGCGTCAAAGCGAACAATGGGGTGCGCCGCTCGGACCGCGTCAGTCAATGGCGGCCGGTGGGGCTCCTGTCGCGCCAGCTGCACATGCGCCGATAACAGCTGATCCCTTCGAGGATCGCGCCACACCGCACCGCACAACTCATGTAAACTTTATATAAAAATATAGGTATATATATACAATATAAACGTGGCGATGCGTCGTTTGTGGATTATTTACGCGGGTGACATTACACAAATAATTTTCATGGTTGTTCGAAATACAAATTCATTATTTTTTTTATGTGTTCAGAAGTTTACAGTATACAGTCAGTATCTCTGAGCATTTTACAGTATTTACGTACCACACGAAAATATTAGTCCAAGGACAAATTATTTTCTACTACTGTCTACCCAAATTAGTCTGATGTGTAGGTAGGTAGTAAATATACAACTATGAAATATTAATGATGCTACTATTGAGCGTTCATACCGAAGTTTAAGAACGTCTACCTTCTTTTAACTCTAGTATATATTTTTTAATAAGAACTGAAAGGTTGCTTTGTCGGTAATCGTTTTAAGAATGATAGTGCATTGTTAAATTTACGTTCATTACTAGAAATCTGATCTAATAATTCATAAATTTTGAATGCTGATATTGTGAGATTTTCGACTTCAGTGATCAAGAAATATTAAACTCTTTTTTAGTAGAAAATACTACAATAAAACGATGGGAATATTTCTCTTACTTATTATAGGGGTTAATTTATTAAAATAAAATACTTTCAAAGAAAATAAACATTTAATAAATCAATTATGTATTTTGATACTAAACAATTATAATTAAAAATTAATAAAGTAAAAATAAATAGGGAAATTTTTATATTCATAATTTGTATTGAGATTCCAATAACTTTCAACATAAAATATTATAATCAACGATAACAAAATCAAACCCAGTATTTAATTATGTTCTTACATTTGGTGCTGTGATTCTTGTCAAAAGAATTATTACAAATATCAATAAGTACATATTACTCGTATAGTATAGTAGTAAACTATACCACAACCGCTTTAACAGGTGCAGAGCATTATAGTTTGCTTTGAAATTTTTTTCTGTACAATAATACACAAATTATGCTATTAATACATCAATTATATACAGAAGAAGCTGCTTTATAACGAGATTAAAATCATGTTAATATTTCCCAAAACTGGGGTAATATTGCAACTGTTTTTTTTATAATTTATTGGGTAAGAGCATTCATATTGTTTTATCAAAAGACGTATTTTAAATTGTTAACCATAATAAAGAACGAATCAACTTTAAAGAAAGGCTCAGAGAATAAATAGTATCTACATTATTACTGCTTAAAGCTCTTGCAATACTAGAAGACCTGCAAATATAGCTTATTAGGAAGGAAAGTTAATGTTCCTGGAAGTTTTAATATCTTTTTGGAAATACTTGCTGGGAATTAAAATCAGTTTTTCATTAAAATCCGTCCACCTGTTAATCATAAAAATAACAAAGAGAGACACATTTTCGAATTTTAGTATGGATTACAATATCTAAACACGAAAAGAACTGTCTACATCTATTAAACAGTGTTTCCCATAAGTGTGCGAGAGTACCAATATGTACATTACCTAATCAGTCCAGTCCTGCCGATGTTATACGGCCTTAACATTTTTAAGGTATAAAATACAAGTTTTAAGTATATAAATCTAACAATTAACATTTTGTATTCGAGTTATTTTTACCAAATGTATAATTTCCTTTCAGTACTTCATTATAATGAAATTCCTAAATATTCACTACAGAAAATATTTTATTATATTTTTAACTTTAAAAGTTTTATTACTATTTAGTAGATCTTTTAAAAATATTCATTCATATCATATGTTGCCAGTCTACAATTATAAATAATCTGCACACAGTTGATATTTTATATCAAATCTACATTATGGTTGGCAAATGAAGTGAACTCTTAATTTGACACACTTATTTTGTTATTATAGTTTAATTATTAGTTATTAATAATAAATGAAACCTGTAATCCTAAATAAAGTGGCAAAGCGTATTCTGAAGTGGAAAGTCGATATGATATCACGATTCTAACCATACATTGCCCTACCCATGTTTAGTGGCAAAATTGTCTTCTATTACTTTTATAAGTAAATATTTGTAGATAATAAGGCATTTTGTAAAGTATAAAAGCCAAGTGTACTATTTTCTACACATATATAATTATTGCCAATCATTTAAATAGCTAATATTTTTTAAGCGACAGTCTTCAAAGCCTGTATTCTTTTAAACAAGTTGTAAGTGTTGTTTAATTCCGTAAATTCTGCAACAGGTATTTAAATGAAATACTACATACATATCTTGAAAGTATAATAATACATATATTATAAGTAATAGTATATATATTCAAATATGCATTGAAATGAAATTAATTATTATCAGTTATTATTATATAGTAACTACATGAACAGTAACCATATATTAATTCATATAGTCGTGACACCGTTTCTGACTTATGACGCCTAAATTTTTGTCATAAATAATCTTAAGACCCTGTGTGCATTGTGTATTTCTATCATGGGTTCTATTTTCCGTTTAGTTTCTTTTCATGTAAAAAAGTATAAACACTGATAAAAATTGGGAATGTTGATTAACTCTTAGATTCACTACTACCATCTGCACAGTTAGCATGCTATGCAGTTAGCTTATAATTCGGAGCTGAGAATTTTTTTGACAGACGTTATTATATATAAAACAATTTTCCTTATTAGCAAATTAATAGAAAATTAGCAATAATAACAAAATATTCCCACCGCCCGTCACCACAGCGATGAGATTAATTTACGCACTTCGACTCAGTTTCTAAGTACAATATAAATCTAACACATTTTTTAAAAAATGTCTTTATTTTGTAGACATCTTGATTTGTGACATATGAATGCATATTTGTCAATATAATAATAGTAGTAAAGATTGCTATAACTATATTACAGCCAATATATCAATAACAATAGTCTATAAAACCAAAAATGAATAATAGAATAAAACTGAAATAAAAGCGCAATAAGTACCCTGTTTGTTCTTAAGAATCTTTTCTTTTTCTTATGTTATATCGAATTGATACTTAATTTACATATTCCTTGAAAACTAAACTAGAAATGGAATATAAATAAATGATATAATATGTATTGATTAATTTTGTTACGATTATATAATTAACATAAAGGAAAAATGAAATTCTGGTTACAATTCTATATAAATCATTGGCAGATTGGAGTAGATACTGAAATTGTAGTTAATTGTAAATTAGAAATCAATAATAAAAAGATGTACTCAGATAAACAAAATATAATATTTATTGAAATTTCTATGTATCAAAGAGAATAAAATTTCCCGGTAACATATTACATATTTGAATAAATTCAAACTTGGCATACTGAGATGAAACTTGAAGGCGTCGTAATAGTATATAACAAATTAAATACACACTGTGACCGTAAACCATCACATAATATATCATTCATTGAGCATCCATTACATAAAAATGGAAGTTAGATATTAGGAATGTCGCTCATCATATTCACAACCAACACCATTGCTAGTAAAAATATATAATTAAAATAGGTATCTACAAATAATATAGCATCCAATGCTTAAGTACAACATGTGAAATACATTGAAAATCCAAATATATATAGAGATTGGCGGTGTAGTACAATATTCAAGTGTTTTTCATAATGTTATAAATAAAGTAATTATTATCATTATAGAATTCTCAACAAATAATGATTTAATAAACCAAGGAGATTCTATAAAGTATATCCCATTAACTAATCACGCACCTTTCATTATACATTATATTGTAGAAAATAAATGCAAGCATGCAATACCTTATCCCTTAATATTTGCCGACCAACATTTTGCCGAATTCGATAAACTTAAAACTATGAGAACCCCATTGTTCATCAGAGAACCCTATTGTTTAATCACATAACTTATTAACAATAAAATGAGTATAACACCACCCGAGATAACAAATTAAGTAAACCTATTTAACTTTATGATACAAACAGATCACAGTCTAATTTGTCCATTATTAATTTTCTCAAACACTTCAGGTCCTAGTGGCAAGTATTTACCGAGTTTCGTATCTAAATAGTATAGTTTGTCTTTTTTAATTAAATTTACGTCGAATCCTTCCTTTTGCAGATCGATTTTCTTCATTTTAAATGTACCTGAAAGGAGATTATTACTTGAATCGGCTCAATTTGAATGATACGTTATCTATTAATCTTCTGTACTATATTTGATAATTTAGTTATCAATATTAATGTTGATAATTTTGACAGGCGAGTGCTGTAAACCCCTCTTGTATCAGATAATATTAGTGAATAGCACATTATGATATTGATCGCAGTATCCACCCATGTCAAGTTTAAAATTAGTATTTAAAAAAAAACATTCAAGACTATAGAGAACAAAATATTATACTTTACAGCATCAAAACGTTATATCAAGACAATTAGAAATCAATCATGTATATATATAATACTGTCCATGTATTTTTGTTCAAGGACTTTTCTTCAGGTGAATCAACAATTTATTTTATATTAATATATTATCTTACAAATGCATAAAAAAGAAAAGTAACTGTGTCAGAATAGTTGATACTTTGTAATAAAGCAAGTAAAAAATTAAATTAATAATGCCAAAACTTTGAAACGAAACTTGACTTATTATCAACAGCTCTTTCCTTTATTTTACAATTAAATAAAATACATTAATGTTGCCTTCAATAAGAAGAAAAAAAATATTTGAGACTTAGTAATAAGTCTCAAATATTTTTTTTCTCCTTTTAGGTACTGTATTTTTGCAGATGCACTGTAAGAGTTAGAGAGACAATACTTACAGCAAACTTAAATTTCAAATTTCATATAGTCATAACAAACTAACAGATGTTTGGATGATTTTGGCTATTGTAATATATGGAATGAGTCAGGGGCCGTTCAAGTATTACGTAAGCACTATAGGGGGGCGGGGGGGTCTTTTCTTTGCTTATTTTGGATGACATGGGGGTGGGGGAGTCTGTATGATGATTACGTCATCGGTCGTAATTTACTTTTTTACAGGAATGGCAACCCTCACATTGACTTTGCTAAAAAAAACAATACATTAATTGAGAGATGTTTACGTAAGCATGGGTGGAGGGGGTAAGAGCTTTGCTTACTTTTGCTGACAACGGGGGATGGGGGGTAAATAATTGTGATAAATCTGCTTACGTAATACTTGAACAGCCCCTCATCTACGAAATTGCTACACTCTTTAAACATAGTCCATTCGTGTAATGTTAATTTATTGTATGAAAATTATTTGTATGCACGTACATTTGTAGATTAATTAATTAATTCGGTCCAGTAACTACAGGAGATACTAAATAGTAAGATATTACCTGTCAAATCTACACTGGTCATGACCCTCATGAATATAGGCCTAGCATAGACGGGCAGATCGCGCGCGAGATCTCGCGCTAGTTTGTCCAGGTCTAAAGTGCCATCCGTGTCCACGATTCCACACATGCCAGCGCGACCTTCAGTATTGGGCACCTGAAAAATAGATATTTGTTAAACTTCAGCTTTATGAAACTTAAGTAATAACAATAATAATAACCCGGGACAGTTCATACAGCGACATCTAGTCCCAAGCTAAGCAGAGCTTGTGTTATGGTAACTAGGCAAATGTTATAAATACTTAGAGACATCTTTTTGGTAAATACATAAATATGCCAGCCACCCAGACCCATACAAACAAAAACAACTCAGGAATACAAATGTTTTTAAAAATTCTTTTGAATTGAATTTTGTGTTGTTCATAATTTTGATTGATTTTGTTTCAATATGAGTAAGAGCTTATACTAGTATACATTAGGTAATTAAAGAAATACAGTCATGAGAATTAATATGGAAATAAAATCTATTGTTTCAAAACGAATAATAAAAAATAATACAAAATTTGCGAAGATGAGTTCAAATATATTTTTGCAGCAGTTGAAAATTTGGAACATTGAAACTAGCGTGCATGCAGCGACTTATAAAATGAAACAAGTCGTATTTAATGGTAATAAAGGTACTCGATACTTTCAGCGTACTATATAAGGGGTCCAGCATAAAATGTAAATTTGTAATATCCTAAGAAATTAACAATACATGTTATTCATTCATAGAGTTGTGCTGTGTAGAGTAGTCAGTTATCTCACCAGTACTCCATAAACAACTGCATCTCTATGCTCGGCAACCCTGGATATGGCTGCTTCAACTTCACTGGTGCTGACATTCTCGCCTCTCCATCGGAACGTGTCACCAGTACGATCTTTGAAGAACAGATACCCTAATTCGTCCGCGACTAAGATATCACCTGGAAAAATAGTAAATTATAATATAAAAATTGTAAGTAATTGTAACACTTATAGTATCTACATATTTTTTGGAATTTGTAAGCTTTTCTGGACAGTATACGTACAATATGCATAATAATAAAAACAACAATAAAATATTGATTAAAAAAATTGATACAATTAAAAAAATATATGGTTCCAACTTTGTTAGATTTTATTAAAGATAAGGCACTGAACGCGGGAATAACGATCATCACTTTTCCAAATATACTAAATTGTTATTTTTAACAACAGAAAAATCTATATTACTGTTATCCACCAACTTGTGTTGAAGACGCCACACACATTCACACTGATTGTATTTAAATACATAATTTAAATGAAATTACAAGAGTTAATATAATTTGATAATATGTTATTAAAAATGTACCTGATATAAAAGCGGTGTCTCCTTGTTGGAACACGTTCCTGACGATCTTTTTATCTGAGGCGGCCTTGTCCACATACCCGAGGTACTCACGGCTCGGGTTCGTGGTAGAAATCTTGCCAACAAACACGCCCGGCTCGTTGGGTTCCGCAAGCTGTAAATAACGGATATACGGATAATAGACTTTGCAAGTCTATTGTAAAAAAAAATTCACATATACAATGAAATATAAACTATTTATTGTTTCTCTCACAGAAAATATAATGGGCGACCTTATTGCTAAATGCAAAATAATTAGCAAATAGAAGAACACATATTTTTTATTAAAAAAAAATACATTCCAGTAATTGCCAGACCAGTGCGAACATGAATATCAATGTTTCAAAATAGATATATATGTTTATATTTTTAAAAAGACATTAAAATTTGGATAGAGAATAATAAAATACTTCCATAATTTCTCTATTCAAATAAAAATTTATAAAGAATAGGAGAATAAAAAAACATATAATTTGAAATATGTATATTTCAAACTATATGTTTTGTTTTGTTGTTACCTGACAAAGCCCCCTAGAATCTCTTATCGGTTCGCCGGTCTCCTGGTTCACTTTGATTATAGCGATGGGATACACGCCTGGTATTATTCGGGACACGAATCCTATTGAGCCCGGTGTGCCGTCAAAGTTCACTGATACCAATAAAACACAATATTAATTTTTTATGAAACTCCAATGGCATAGAAGCCAACAGACAGCCCACCTGATTGTGAATGACAACCACCGCCTGAATGACATGAATAGCAAAAGGATCCCGACATGATATGATGCCCCACATACATTGCCATTCCGAAATATTAAGAAAACATGACTTTTAATTATATAAAATTTACTGCCATATTTCGCCTTTCAACTGAAACGCAGCTTACAAAACAAACTGCATGAGGATAGAAATACGTGAGCGAGACATTAAAATCAACTTGTTAAAAAAACTATAAATAAAGTAAATTACAGTTAACATTGTCTAATGCTATGTATAATAATCTAATACAATGCTCAATCAACAGCGATATAATGGGGTGGTATAAGAATCGGCCTTATTCATTATTATTTAATTGATGGTCATTATAGACTCAATTAGATTTTACTATGTAATCTAGTCAATAAACTACTTACTAACTAATAACTTCATCAATTAAATAATTAATTTTATATTGCATATAACAAACTTAAAACAATAATATAAAAAATATCTACTAATATTTTAAACGAGAAAATTTGTGAAGTTACTTGGATACTTGTTTGAAGCTGTTTGTTTCTTCTCACGCAAAATACGGAGTAGATTTGAATGAATTTTGGTACACAGATAGAATATATTCTAGATTACAAATATATATAGATAAATACATACAATACTCTTAACTCGAATTTAATACAAGCAGCGTCCCGAAATATAACTATCAAACAATAATATTTAAAATAATTAAATTACCTATATTAGCATTTCCTTCCGTGGCTCCATAGAACTCAATGACATTCTCGATGTTGAATCGGTTGAGGAAATCTTTCCAGATCTATAAATATATATATTCTTTATTGCACTTTTAAATACAGTTCTAAACTTAAATATATACAAAGTGAGCAAAGGTGGACTTATCTCTAAGAGAGATCTCTACCAGTCAACCCAACAATGTGGCATAGCTAGTATTGAGTAGGTAACACCTGTGCAATTAAAACTATTATGTTAAAATCTCCAAAAGATGAAAAAATAAAATATTTAAAATTCAACATATTAAATAAAGTTCGAATTATATTATAATTATAATAAAATATACAATAATAAATAAAATATACAATAATAAATAAAATAAACATTGGTAAAAGTTATATATATATATATACATACATATACAATTACTATAGATATCTACATATATTACACAAAATACAAATAATAAAATACATGATGAAACTAATCATACTAAGGTCGATAAATAGTACGATTTCAACCTTTTCTTAAAACAACCGATTGATGGACTTTCCTGTATCTGTACTGGTAGTTTGTTCCATAACCGAGCAGCGCGAAATGAAAAGGAATTTCCTAAGAATTGTGACTTGCCAAGTGGAAGTTTTAACATTTTGGAGTGGTTTTGGCAAAGACGTCTCGGTCTAGTAGGAGGGGGCAACAATTGAAAGCGGGATTTAAGGTAAGCAGGAGCATTGGGATTATTAAGGATGTTATAGAGCATGGTCAGGATGTGCATATTATGTCGAAGGCGGATTGGGAGCCACTTTAAACGAGCGCGAAATTCAGAGACGTGATCGTATTTACGTAAACTGAAAATAAATCTGATGGCTAAATTTTGTAAGCGCTCGAGTTTATTGAGGAGCTCCTCAGTCACGTCTAAGAAACAAACGTCAGCATAATCAAGAATGGGAAGTAAAATGGATTGTGCGAGCATAATTTTGGTACTGAAAGGAAGAAAATATTGAAGTCGTTTGAGAGAGTGATATGAATAATGCATCCGTTTACTGATTTCATTAACATGAGGTGTCCAAGACATTGTGCCATCTAAGATAAGCCCTAAGTTTTTAACTTTGTCAGTATACACTAACTGAACACCCTCATATACAAGTGCGGGTATAGTAGACCAATCCAACCGGCTCCTCAGTCTACTGCTACCAACAATCATAACTTGGGATTTGGCAGGATTTACAACAAGACCGAAAGACCTAGCCCATGCTTGTATTGCCGAGAGATCACAGTTCAAATCTGCAACTGTTTGTGCCACCTCCGACAATGTAAAGTGACGGTATAATTGCAAGTCATCTGCATACAGATGGAATGGAGAAGTAATGATACGAGATATATTGTTAATAAACACTGAAAATAGTAATGGAGAGAGAACACCGCCTTGAGGTACACCAGCAGTTAAAGTAATCCAGTCTGAGGAACCCTCGCTAGTTTTTACACACTGCTGGCGACCGAAAAGAAAAGAAGAGAACCATTCTATAACAGAAGCAGAAATGTTAATAGCACGGAGAGCACCAAGAAGGATGTCAAAATCTACAGAATTGAATGCGCTGCTGAAATCTAGCAGAATTATAGCAGTCAACTTGGTGTCCTCCATAGCCTGCCTTATATCCTCAGTAATATTAAGAAGTGCCCCAGTAGTGCTATGGGAGGGACGAAAGCCAGACTGGAAGGGACATAACAGGTTATTAGAAGAGAGAAACATGTAAAGTTGACTATGAACAACGGATTCGAGAACTTTGGAGAGCAAGGGAAGTATGGAAATGGGTCGAAATTGGGAGAAACAAGTAGGGTTTGACGTTTTAGGGAGAGGTATAACATAAGCCCTCCTCCACTGTGATGGAAAGACATTTTGCTGCAGAGAAAAATTAACAATGTGAGTGAGTACACGCAAAATATCTTCCAACACAGTAAGAATCATCTTAAGGCTAATGTCGTCGCTACCGATAGCTTTAGTGGATAGGGAAAGGATACACTTTCTAACAGCATCTTCTGATACCGTACTGAAAGTAAAGGAAGGACAATTCTGTGGGAGAAGGTTAGAAAGAATGGAAAGGGAATTGGCTTTAGTGGAATTGCTAAGAGTAACAGGAGTAGAGGAAAAATGTATGTTTAGCGCATTGAGATCGAGACCACTCAGCGAAGAGTCGGAGGCCTTGCCCACTCCTAGCGACTGGAGAAACTTCCAAATTTGAGGCTGTCTAAGGTTTTGTATAGTATTATGGATATATCGGCGTTTAGCATCCCTACACATTCTGTTGCAGACGTTGCGTAGCTTTTTATACAATTCAAAGTTAACCTGTGATCTCTCGTGCTTGTACTGACTTTTAGCTCTGTCACGTTTGGCCATGGTTCTCCGAATAATAGGAGTAAGCCAAGGAGCAGGAGCGTGTTTAACGCGGACTGGACGCACTGGTGCATGGATGTCAAAAATTTTAATGATCTCTTTGTTAAATGTTTCAACCATGCAATCGATATTATCAGCTAGCAGTAAGGGAGACCAGTCAATATTCCTCATATCCTCTCTCAAACGATCTAGATCTATATGCCGAAAATCGCGAAGTAATAAAACCTTACCCTTATTCTTCGGAGGGCGCATGTTAAATGATAGATAAATTAAATCGTGTTGAGAAAAGGGAGAACACATTTGACCATGAGATATAACTTTGTCGGGTTGTGAAACAAGAATTAAGTCAATAAGGGAAGGTCTACAGTTATGGAAGTAATGTGTGGGTTTAAGCATAGGCAATACCTGGAGATTAAGGCCAGAAGCCAGACCCATGAGGTTATCAGTCCTATAGTCATTTTTTAAGATACATGTATTTAAGTCACCCATTAGAATGACATGATGAAAACGTGGAATTAAGTCTTCCAAAGTATTCTCTAATGGTATTATATTGACATTTCACTTGTTACATGACAAAGTCTATTCACCTTGTGAATAGTAATAATGACTGAAACATGTTTATTCAACTCTCAGTCATTATAATTTTACAATACAACGTACTTAATCACATATACAACGTACTTTGGTACACAATAATAACTAAATATAATTACAAAAAATGAACCGACGAATCCTGAAATTTATATGAAACCAAAAGTATACAGAGTCTAGTCTATATATTGCACAAAGTCCAAGAAAAACACCTAAATTTTCGGAAAGACATTACGTAATATACATACAAAAAATGTCCAATTAAGAACGTTTTGACAAGTGGTTGTTACGTTATATTGACATAAAATCACTTAAACATTATGTACGTCATAATATTTATCTTTGAAACATTAAATGTACACACATTGAAATACACTCAAACTGGGAGAATCATTTAAATGTAATCAGTCACAAAGCATATTCAAAACTAGATAAGCGTGTAAAGAGATCGTTTGAGACCTAATATGAGTATTTTCATATGAGATAAGTTTATGTTAAAACATGTTACCGTACAGTAATATAATTTAACTCAATTCATCGCACTTACCTAACATATGTATCTACATAACTTATGCAAACAAATGGGTCATTACAGAAGCAACAATGAAGGTATGTAGCATGTAATAAATTAACATAGTAAGTACTATTGTTAATTTGACCCAGCTGATTGTTACAAAATTTTAGAGTAAATAGATACATCAATTATACCCAAGTACTACATTAATTAAAAATATGTATTTGTAAGGTTTCATAACCATTCTACTTTCATATTGTTTAGTTTTAAAATAAAGACAAAGAATAGAAAAATGAAATATAACTAGTGGAAGATGATAGGGTGAATAATATTGTGGGATATAGGGTCACTGGATATAATATTAAAAGTATAGTTTATGAGATCTATCTCCTTGCATTTCTCATAAGAAATCATGATACTTATTTCCTAATATTTTTTTAACAAAGTGCCTATAGACGATTGCTTTCATAAAACAAAAAACAAGGGAAAAAACCCCTTAGATAACAAAAATAATTATCGGTCTTAATTATCTGTTTAGTTTCAACTAAGATATAGCGTGAAGACTTTCTCCTGGTAGTAGTAGACTTATACATCTATCATCCTCCACTGGTGCTTAGCCAGCGTAAACCGTTAGCGCAGGTAGTTGCACCATTTCATTATCATCCACAAAAAAAACTTATACAATAATAACAATATACCTGTGGTCGAAGCCCGTTCCCATATATGATGCGGACGCGGTGTGCTGTGTCCGAGGGTGACCGCGGCGTCGCCAGCACGTAGCGACACATCTCACCGATGTAGTGCGCAGCCTAGTTACAAAAAAAAATATTATTTATTAATTTCAAATAATACAGATAATTTAAAGACGTGAAACTAATTGCATTAAACATTAAATAATGATAATAATAATTCATGACTATTATACCAGATATATTATATCATTTTGATCCAATGTAGCAATGGTGAGGCTACCTTTTCTCCAGTAAATTTTAGCATCGCATTCTTTACAATATGTTCTGAATCCAATGGTAGAATGATAAAAATGACAATTTAAAACTACTTATAAATAAAAAGCCTATTTTTATACATAAATCTTACTGTGATTTTTATAAATATAGGATATTATGTTTTCTGATAGATATAAGCCCACCGTTTGTTCAGCATGTACTTACAAAGAATAATTTTTGGATTTGTTTTAGTGCACAATAAAGAATTATGGTATTTTTATTAAATACTAGCTGATGCGAGCAACTTCCCCTGCATAAGACTAACATTTATCATTGTATTTCCCCTAATTTACAAATATCTCTTTAAATTATAGCCTATGTATATATAATTATACCCTGATGATACGCCATATTACTGTAAAGTTTCATCAACCCGTTCCATAGTTTTAGCGGGAAAGAGTAACATCTATCCATACTAATTTTTTTTAAACTTTCGCGTTAATAATATTAGGAAGATTTACCGTTGCTTTATATTTTATACAGTCTGGGAAGTACTGCGACGCGGAGAACTTCTGCTTTAATGCAACTGTGCATCCGGACACAAAGGCCTGGCCAACAGTAACCACGCCGCCCGCGGTGTGGTACAGTGGTAATGGACAGTAAACTATGTCAGAACTGTTCAAACCGAAATAATGGATGCCTGTCGTCATAAACACGAATCTGAAACCAGCACATAAGAATATTATTACTAAATAAGAAAATACTATAAAAAAGGCACTCCGCAGAAACACTCGAGTAAATTGGTTGCATATTTTCATCAAAAATATAAAGTCTAAAGACAAATCTTTTTAACTAGTATGTGTTGCTAAAGATACGGAATTGATATACACTGGATATTGTATTACACTGCTAGCCGTATGAGACGTCGCCGTTCAGTTAGTTTTGAAACAGTTTTGTAGTTCCACCATGTAATAGAATACAAATCTATAAAGAAAAATAGCTCGTACAAGTAATGGCAATGTAAGGTCGGCACCTTACATCAGATCCATCAAATCGTAGTGACGACCTCAAAACTATTACAAAGAAAAGATGGATACTGGTATGTTGTGGGGTAATATGAGAGGTTTCACTTCAGCACTCGATGATATATGTATAATAAAGTATTTTTATCCATATGTATTCCTAGGTAGTTTGTAGCTTCTTTACAAGTGATAGAAAATATGTTTTTGTAGCTAGGGTATTAGAACATATATATATTGTATTTTTTACTCATATATATTTAAATTTATTTACTTTTTATAGAACAAAAAGTATATAGAAACTATTGTATAAAAATGTTATTGTCTTGATTTATGTGTGGAGAAATGTAGGGTAGTTTAATATTAGTATTAAGTCGGTCGATGGTTTTTGATTTGTGTTGTTTCACTGACACTGCAATAACTACGATAGTTTAATCCCATCTCTCTTTCATAACACATATCTATAGATGTTTCCTTGTGCTGACATGTATCACAGAGTCACTTCCACATCTAGGTATATAATATCAATTATACAGGGGGGAAAGGGATTGTTAGTAATGTGGACTCTCGACCCCATCGCTAGCAATGTACCATGTCAGGTTGACCTCCACGTGGTTCCCCTGGAAACCATCTTGATAAATTCTAGATGAATTTATCACGATGGGCTAACTGACCTGACCTTATTCTCATCTTATCATCCTCCACTGGTGCCCCGTCAGCGTAAACCGTTAACCGCGCAGGCGGTTGCACCATTTCATTATCATATACAAAAAAAAATGTCAATTATACATGACTGAAATACATCGGGATGCAAATGCGATTAACGGTATTCAGAAACTATATATTTACCTTGAATTAGATATAACCGCTGCCTTTGGAAGTCCAGTAGTTCCAGATGTGTATATGTACAGAAGTTTACCACAGAACCCGTCACCGTTTGCCAAAGTCCAGGGTGCGGGCGGTGTAGATTCCAAAAGAGATGTGAGATCAGTAAAGCCATCTCCAATTGATGTTTTAGGATTTGAAGTATTTAGTGGACGATGTGTGAATTTAAACAGTTTCAATGATGGACTAAGGTCTTTTGATATATCTTGAATCGCTGTAAAAATAACAAATTAAAAATAATTTACAAGTTACTTTGTCTAGTCTAATAATGCTTAAATACATATTTTCGTAAATACCCACTAAGAACAAATACAGAAACTACCAGATCAATGTTCATAGACATACTCACAATACAAATATTTAAACAATTATATGACATTGTTTGAATCATAACTCCAGTAACGGTAATAAGCTACACTCTACACCATTGAACTGACCGCTAGTAATAAATAAAATTCACGGTAATAGAATAGGTACATATTTATTTACTTACAACACATATCGCACTCCTAATAAAATATATTTACAAAACAATATTTTTTTTTTATTTATAGTAAGTTAAAAGTTCACTGTAGATATTTCCAAAGTTGTAATTTTTTAATTAATGCAGTTTGATATAAACCGTTCCATAAATTCATATATAAAATATTGCGTTATGACTAAAATACAAATAACATACAATTCATTCTTATGTGTCTCTCTTTTAAAATACAAATGAAGACTTTGCAGACATTGATATCAAATTTAGCATGATTTTTACATCAAGTAACTTGTGCAGTACCTATTTTATACACAAGAGGTATATAAAATTGAGGCATAGGAATATAAAAGCGAAATTTGTGGCAAAAGTGTACATTTTATATTATATAGATGAAATGGCAAGCAAGTCTGAATATTGTTGAGGACTAATAACATGTCGTGCCACTGTATTCTGCAATTTCATTGCTTGGTTCATGAGCTGCGACAGTTGAGACAGGTATCCATGACAACTATATACAAAGTCTGCATTTTTTTTATGTTTAAATTATTACGTATGAAATATTCACGAGTATAAAATATAATAGTTATACTTATTACAGAGTATGTGGACTGATAGTGTTATCACTCTAGGAAATTAACTATAGATGTAACATTTTGGTAAATAAGGTCAATAAAGATCAATATAGTAACAAATTTAGATAGATGTTATATTACATTAGCAAAATAAAGAAATAAATATTATAGAAGGCAATCTATACTAATATTATAAAAAAGGAAAGATTTGTTTGTTTGATTGAATAAGCTCCGAACTACTGAACCGATTTGAAAAGTTATTTTACCATTAGAGTCCTATATTATCCCTGATGAACATATGCGATAGGATATTTTCAAAACGTTAGGGATCCATATAAAAACTTCGATAATGTAACCCAGTGTATGGATAAAAATACAATAAAAAAAAATATTGCGTATGCTGCGGAAATTATTGACAATTAGCTGTGTCCGTGGTTTCACCCGCGTCAAATTTATAGATAGCTATAGCGTTTCATCAATATCTGTTTGACGTAGGTACCCTATACTACAATTTTATACATATATATGTACAATTTTATAAATATATATGTACTTATGTGTAATTTTTTTTTGTTATTTACTTCTAATTATATGCGTAATATCTTAAAGTTGATGATTATAATTATGCTTTTTGCTACAAATTTTGGTAGTTTCTTTTTGCTATAAATGAATAAAGATTTACATACATCTTAAAAAGTAAAGTTGAATAATGTATGTTTGATAAATTTATCGCAGTTTCTTGCCCATTCATTAAATACTTGCATTACAAAACTGGCAATAGAATAATAAAAGTTCATTAGAACAAACATTATTTTCATTAACATCTATTCCACTTACCTGACTGATACTCGTCGGAAAATATTAAAATGTCACATTTGGCGACATTGATCGAGTGTAATAAAGCGTTCCCTCGTTGATTAGTGTTAATTAACGGTGTCACGGCTCCAACGCGTGCGTTACCCAGCCATATTGCCGGTAGCTGGGGACAATTATTTACCAACATCCCAACTATGCTTCCTTTCCTTATGCCCTGGGCCTTCAAGACCGCGGTCATGCGTAAACTGAAGTCCTCCACCTTGAAAAGTAATCAAAATAATTATATAAATGGCATGACATTTTGTAAATTATAATATAAAGATGCCAAATACTAAAAGGAAACTAAAACTCTGAAAGGGCATAATTATTGTTAAATTCTGATTAAATATAAGTATCAAGGTACACAGCATAATTAAACTGACTGGCATATGACTGGTGTTATGTTATAACAGAAGGAACTCATGAGTACAATTTTGAGACGTGTTATTTCATACTTGAATATTGCTATATTTTTTATAGTCCTATTAATTATGGCATAAGGTGCTGATAAAATATCAAATAAAAGAAAATTCTACAGTGGTACAAAAATAAAGTAAAAGAATAAAGTTGGTGAAACAGCTCATAAAAGTATATAATAATATGCACACATAAGTAATTGTTCAATTTATGCCATGAATTATGACTTTTAACAAAATTACTGGTACAGCATTAATAAGGTAAATAAAATATATCTATTAAACATATCACTACAGAATGTACTTTGCAGTACAATTAACATTCCATGACATATAATGGCTAATAATTTTATGTCTAATTAAATTGTAAATTACAATTCCTAATCCATTTACAATTACAGAGAATGAATACAAACCTCTTGAAATGTCCATACTTCATCTTGAAAGAGAAAACAAGGCTTGTTTGGATGTTTCTGTACCACATCATGAAATATATCAGGTATTGTCCAATTTCTCTTACTGAACAGCCGTGTCTTCCACAGAATGTTAGCATATGCCACCAGTGCCCTTATAAATATATATACATGTAAATGGTACATAAAGTGAAAAGAGTGCTAAAGTGACATATATCATATGAATCATACAGATACTATAAGCAATACAATATTATAGTAAGTATCAAAGTATAGAATATGTACTTTGACTAAGACTAAAATAAAGGATGTTCAATAAGATTGAAGGTAAATTGGGAAATATTTTTTTCAGAGTACACAAAGAGAATTTGTAACAGATAGGGAACTATTGTAGTAAATAAGAATGCTATTTGATTAACTCAGAATTCTTCTCCTCCTTATGAGGTAGAGACAGAGAGAGACACATGCAATACTCTAGCAATAGAACATGTTAAATAAAAATTATGTATACATAATATTAACAATACAATTAAATTGACTCTAGTTCTTAGAAGTCAATTTACATTAATTTATATCGATTGATTTTAATTATATTAATATGTAGATGCATGTATATGCAATTAAGAGTACATTCATTCAGTCATTCATAGTTAAACACATTATATACATATTTAATTTTTTTTTAAATGTTACTATCCAATACTCATTAACAATCTTGGGGCTTCAATCTCACTATTATTAGAAAGATCTCATTTAAACATAAATATTTTTATAACAGTTTATATTATGTTATAAACTTTATGATAACAATGGTTGAATTTGTGATAACAAATATCTACATATTGTATCTTTAGTACTGTTAGGTATTATTTAAAATAATATAATTTGCATACTAGGGACTTCTAATATAATGGCTGTGTCATTATTTTTTTTTGTAACAAAATTATAATTAAATATTTATTTATGCTGTATGGAAATGTGTAAACAATCATCAACATGTAAAGATTATGTATGATACATGTCAATACATTAGAAAGGTAAAATACAAGTACATAGAAACATGAAATAGACAATGAAATTTTATTTCCTTCACACTATTATTTGCACAGCTATACTAAACTCATAACAACTTATTCCAAGATCAACAATAAATTATACAATTAAAATAATTGTATTTATATTTGGAAATTATATTAAAATTTTAAATAGATACAAAAGATTTTCAAAATTCTAACATTAAAAAGTTGAATTCTAGAGGATTACTATTGAATAGTGCTCCTACTTGCGCTACTGATGTTTACAATGCAGGCAGGGCTCCAGTGGAAAATGACATGTGAGGATAAAGTCAATCTTGACAAATAGACCATGAATTAACTTAGAGGTCACCTTAACAAAGTACAGTGCCAGTGATGGTGTCACTAGTTCATTATTAACAACCCACTACTACCAATGGGTTGGGACCAATAGCTAGTATGCAATTATATATATATATAACACTTGTTCACTTTAATAATTCTTATTATGTATATGAGTCAGTTCTGCTCACTTTCGACTCCTCCATCAAATAGGCACTATTTACTGAATCATAATAGTTTAGGTTCTGTACCTATAGGCATTTACTCTTGCATATTACATCTGGTTCGCCAAACTTTCAATCAACATTATATTTTATATATTATGCTACTATTGCCTCAATAATTTATATGCTATATAGAACATCATATGTTTTGGAGAGAAGTACCCATGGTACATCTTTCTGTTATACATTAAACAGTATTGTTAATTATCAAATAACAACTGTTAATTATGGCTTAAACACAATGGAAAGTATCTTCTATTTCTTAGGTAAATAATATTTAAATTATTTGCAAAATTTATATTATTTATTATATGTAGAAAACTTCTATAAATGACATAATCAAAACAAGAAAACTTTCACATTTATGTACATACCGGAGGTCCCTTTTAGTTGTCAGCAGGGCTACATAGCACCATCTTGAATGAAAAACTAAACCGTATAGCGCTATAAGTAATAAAGAAGCAGCCACGGTGTATATAAAACCATGGTACAACCAGATTGCAGCACTGACGGCAAAAATAGTTATAATAGCCAAAAACATTATTACTATTTTGCGCCTAGAAAGGCGACTGAATAAATACCGTCGAACCACTGTGAGCTACTCCGATTATCAGCTAAAATTTAACTTTAACTCTACGCAGAGACCCACAGTTCAAACACATTGGTGACTACGTTGAAGGTAACGGTAAAAAACTTGAACAAGTTTTCCACTTAAATCTTCAATTGATGTAAATTAACAAGCAGTCAACAACTCAACAAAATGAGTACTAACTTCTCGCTTCTCGTCTCTCTCACTCATGACTGACTGACAAATTTGACAAGTCTGACTGACGACGACAACGACTATGTAACATTGACAGCTTCACACTTCGCACAGATTAGAGCGAATACAAAGAGAAACACTGGAAGAGGGGTATTATTGGCACAAATTTTCTATTTCTGTCTACAATACGTCTCGCTCTTTCTTAAAACGTACCAAAATTAAAATATTTTTTTCTTTTGCTTCGACGTTCTTTCTTAAAACGCAACAAAATTAAAAATAACATTTTTTTATTTGGCGATAAATTATAACTGTCAATTCATACATAAATCTAAACTCGAAAAAAGATATAAATAGTCTAGGTTTAAACCAATTAATCGTTCCATATTCCCCATATATAATATATAGAAATACTTACGTTCATTAATTCTGCCATCGTGAAATTGCGTTCCGTTTTACCAGAAAACTAAATTCATCAAAAATATATATACCTTCAAAGAAAAATGTATAAATTAAAAATAATTTTACATGTATGTATTTATCTCTGTCTTCGTTAAAACGATTTCATTAATATATTAAATTTATTAGCGCAGTATTATTAAGCGTTCCAAATCAGTAATATATACAAGTACATTAAGCCATCGAAACGTCTAAATTCCAAAAATATATATATGAAAAATTTATAAATTTAAAATAATACTGGTGATACAGAATATTTGATATATTTGATTTTATTATAGTACTAATGGAAACAGAACAAAATAAAGAGAATGTAAGAGCTCCAGCAAATAAGAAAAAGAGGAAAATGTTGCTAAATAAATATGTACATATACCTCATGATAAGTAATTTAAAATTATTTGTATATAATTGTGACTATAAAATTTCATTAATAGGAGTTAAAGAAATATACATTGAATTTTTTTTCTATATATGCCTGTTGTATAAACATAAGTCAGTTAATTTTAATTTGAATGGAGCTGTAATATAGAGTACGAATACTACTATGAGGACCTTGATCTCTACACTGAGTTCTTATTCGTATTGTATTATATTAAATTAAATTGTTATTCACAGTGGCAACATGAGACTATCTAATCTTGAATGCAATATATATTTTAAAAGAAGACGCTTCGAAGTCATAGAAATAGAGCATTCCTACAAGATTAAAATATCCGAATTAACAATTAAAAAACTAGAATTGGAAATTGCTTTATTAGAATCTAAAAACAATAACACAGTTTAAGGTGGTAAGCGATGTGTCTCTGGACTGTTATAATTGTATATATAGAGTGATTGTAAGAATTGTAATTCAGTATGTACATTAATTAATAATATAAACTAAAAATGTGTTTCTATAAACGGCCTTTTGCTAACAGTACCACAAAATTCTTATAAGCCCATCTCAAAGCCAAATCTCATTTAAAAATAGAATTGTTCACTTGAGAAACTTGGCCTTATTACAAAAAGATAAATCTGGTTTAGCACTATTCGGTTCTATTCGGTCTTATTACAAAAAATCTGTTAAAACTCGGACGAAACGTGGTCTAAATGGTCGTGGTTTAAAAATAGGTTTTAGGAAGAATTCACGGAAAATGTTAGTGAAACAGTAAATAAAATTGCATAAATGCAAAATTAAAATTCATATTCCATATAATTTTCACTAATATTATAATATATAAATTTTAATAACAATCAAATTACCCAATCCAATATAAATATTTATATTGGATATAATTTTGTTCTATCTTATATACCTATATCTATATTCAGAGACCTTCCATCTTCCCTCATCCAAGCGCGATATCAATATTTAAATCATAATATTGCCGTAAATATTTAAGTTCCGCTGTACTCTGCTTACTCTATTCTTATAGTAAATATATTTATTGCAATATTTTTTTCGTTATTCGAATAATTATTAATAATTCCCGTGTCTTGAACATTTTTAAAATTTTTATATTAATTTGAAATTTTTATACCAACAAGAAACTAAAGATAGGTCCTGTTGATTTGGTGATAATCGAATTTTTCCTTTCAACTCTACAGCAAGACGTTTATACGGTACACAAGCTCTTCAGCTAAAACTATTATTACTACACAGACAAAACGACTGGTTATTATTTCTGGTTTACCATCTCTTATACACGTGTGAAGTGCCTTATTCGCCTAGTCGGCTCTTAGGAAATTCTAGGGGTGAAGGATATAAGAGGATGTATGAATGATAATATTCATTCGTGTGAGTGAATAAAAATAATAAATACTCGTAACATTACAAAAATATATTAATTGTATATACCTAAGCCCATTTTTACATAACTGACGACATCTAAATGCATTTCATAGGTAATTTAACAATAATTAAATAAGTAACTATTTTTAATTTATAAATAAATCACCACACTCTTCACAATAGTCCCATCACAGAATGCTCTATGTACACAATTCAACTCAGGTATACTTAAATTAAAATCACAGTCTGATTTGTCCCGCTACAATTTTATCATACTCTGCTTGTCCCAGGGGTAGATATTTGTTCGTTGCTGGATCCAGGTAGAATAGCTTATCTTTAACAAGCGCTGGATTGTAACCCTCTTTCAAGAGGTCTACTTTCCTCATTTTGAAAGTACCTGAAAAATAGAAGATGAAAATATTACAAATCAACTACATCCACTGTCACAGCATTAGTTGAGCTGAAGGCCTCCACTCTTACTCATATTTTTCATAACAATATTATAAATTTATTTAGATCGCAAGTGCAATCATACATGCATAAAATACAGGTAAATTCTTTCTTCCTTCTTTTTTTAACTCAGTAGGAAAATAAAATATTTTTGTGAAAAGATCTTACCAGTCATGTCGACAGTAGTCATTACTCTGATGAAAATGGGTCTCGCGTATTTCGGTAGATCTTTAGCCATATCTTTGGCAAGTTGCTCTAAGTCCAGTTCACCACTTGGTTCTACTATGCCGCACATGCCAGCACGACCTTCCGTATTTGGAACCTGCAATCATACATTTGTTGCTATTTTAGTTTAACCTTCGTTGAATTTAAATACAAAAATATATGTATTTGAGTATCTAAGCCCTAAAATTTCTAAATAGGCGTATAAGTATCAGTTATAGTATAGGGAAGGTTTGTTTTAATGAGTTTCGATTGAGTGTTTATATATTTACTGTTGTTTAGGAAAAAGAAGGAACGAAAACAATATAGATAGATTTTGTGATATACCTAAGTATGCGTAAAAAAACCAAATAAAAACAGTACAGTATAGAAAAGAAGGGTATACAAAAACAAAACACAATTATATGTGATTAACATATACAGTGAGGTCGATCCCATCCAAATCAAGCAATTTTTTAGGAATTAAGAAGTTACCTCAACTCCGTAAACGACTGCATCGCGTTGTCCGGCAATTTTAGATATGGTGGCTTCCACTTCTGTGGTACTGACGTTCTCGCCTCGCCATCTGAATGTGTCACCAGTACGGTCTTTGAAGAACAGGTAACCGAAGTCGTCCGCGACCAAGATATCACCTGTGGCATTAATTAATTGAAATATTATTTTAATGTACCTAATTTAAATGATGACTAAGAATATACATCGTCTACATACAATATATAACGGACACGGACACGTTACGTGCGAATCGGTGTTGCCATTCCTAAAGTTCCCTAAAAGTTTTATTTTTCGGACTACTCTAATGCTGTTGACCACAGCTGGCCTTTACACTACTTCCACCGGACGATAAGGAGCGAATGCAGATGCGGAACCAAACCTGCGGACTTATGGAGCAACTGAAAGCCAACTCCCATCTGACGGATACGACTTTAGTCTGAGCACTAAGTCTGACACCGCTAGGAGTTAACCTCGGCTTGGTCGTAATTTCGATCCCCTTTTGAATTGGACGGGGAATCGATAGGAAAGGGGAATAAAGTTTACAATACACTCTGCTATACCTATAGCTTACAAAATAAACCGTTTCATGCAAAAATAAGCGAAATAGACGAAGGTACTCATGGGGATGACTTCGTAGCTGCAACGTATACTTTAACAACTAATGTGTTTCGACAATCACCGAAAATGTCCACCATCACGCCAGACTTGTAGACAATACTAGCAAACTAATATTTTGGCAGATACATGATTTACACCTCTGCACGTTGAACATCTTCCGATATTTCCGTGCGGTGTGCGGAACATGTTTATTGCAGATGAAATCTTTTGATCAAATCGATTTGTCGAATTGATAAATCGATTTAATTTTAACTCGACTGCATTGTGAACATTTGCGATGGTATGTTCAATAAAAAGTATATACAAATGTTACCATCTTACCCGATATGAAAGCGCAGTCACCATGTGTGAATACATCTTTGACCACCTTCTTTTCCGACTCCTCTTTGTCTACGTAACCAAGGTATGCTCTCGACGCTAGATTGGGGTTGATTTTGCCGATAAACGCGCCTGGCTCGTTGGGTTTCGCTAACTGCAATATATAATACAAACATTAACAAAACGGTATGCTGTATAAAATTATCGTAAAAATAAAATATATGTTGCACAAAAACCCACACAAATTAATCATAATTATCATTAATGCAATGTCTAGACAGATATTTCAATATTTCTTCTCAATATGTACCTATTACGTTTGCTTTCGTTGGAAATAATGGGAAAGTGAAAGTTACATAGACTACGGTTATGCATTCACGAAGTGAGATGTCGTAGGTTTCAAGAAACCTTGCAAGTCACGCTATAGAATATTTATGTATGTATACCTACCTACTCAAATTTTTGATAAGTACCGTAATGAATTATATCAGTACCATTGTTTGTGGTTTAGCGTAAGAACTGATTAAGCAAAGATAAAGCACGTCACATTAATGACTAATTTAGACTTTATATAAAGTCATCTGCTTTTATACTACTTAAATATTACAGATATCAAGCAGCATGTTGTCTCAACTGTGTTTCTATTGAATGGTTCAATATGTTACAGACGGGGAAATTACAGAGTACTCACGTGCACCAAATAATGAGGTGGCATCAGTTATGGTATTTAGCATTAAGTTTGTTTGTCTTTTGGCTTAATAAAAATTAGTGAAAGAGATGAACAATTCAAAGTTTAAAAAAGTACCAAGCTACATTTATGTAATGTATCTAGTATATAAGTTCTAATTTCTAATAGTCGCAGTTTTCGGCTGTCTCTTTCTCTGCCTACTACAGGAATCGGCATTTAATAAGGTGTATATAATACAATAAATGCATACAATTGTAAGATTTCTAACACAATATGATATAATACATAGAGTATTAGAGTTCCTATTAAATAGGCTGCATTCGTCCGGTTAAATGAAAAAAAAGGGCCAAGTGGCCGATCATGAAGTCATATAAATAAGATACTATCTTACCTATTCAGGTATCAGTTCGAGTCTGATGTACTACATATTATTTATTATTATTAACCGTATAATATTATGTACCTGACACAATCCCTTCCTGTTTCTGATGGGTTCTCCCGTATCCTGGTCTACCTTGATTATAGAGATAGGGTAAATTGCAGGAATTACTCTAGATACGAATCCAATGGCGCCATATGTGTTATCGTTGTTAACTGAAAAACAAGTAATATTTTATCACGCACTGTAAAAAATAATATTTAATATAGGTACCTACGTGAAAAATTCACACAGCGCCACTGATACTTAGATACATTTCGTATCTCACTGTAGATATATATTTTTCCAAGTACTATAAGTACTGTTAATATTAACAGGCATATTTGTATTCATTTTCATGTACTAATTGTTAATTTAAACTCACTAATATTTGCGTTGCCTTCAGTAGCCCCGTAGAACTCAGAAACTCGCTGTATGTTAAATCTCTTCACGAATTCTCCCCATATCTATAAACAAATAACAAATATTAGTTAATATTATACAATTAGTACCCTCTTATAAACTATTTCATTATTTTACATTCTCGAGAAACGATCTAAAATCCTTTCATGTGTACAAATAAATTAATAGACTATTTTTATAACCTAGGAGAATTAAAACAACCCCAAATAGTCCCAAGCTAAGCAGATGTGTTATAGGTACTATACAACGTTAGAAATATTCTAACACCAATAGACAAAATCTAAGTTCCGAGGTTTATTGACTATGCACCATGTCAGGTTGACTTACACGCGGCCCTCGGGAAAACATCGATGTTAATTCCAGGTGAATTGACCACAATGGCTTAACGGAACATATCACGATCACCATCATCATATCATCTTCCACTGATGCCCGCCAGCGTTAGTGTAGGCAAATGCACTATTCCATTATCATCCATTTAAAAAAATCTGAGTAGCCTACCTGTTTTCTGTTTAATTTTATTAATACATGTTTCTAAAATTTCGGAAATTTCTTGATTATGACTTTTTATTATATTAATATATAACCTAGGTAATAAAAAAAATACTTACAGCAGGCCTCATTCCATTGCCGAAGACGATACGCACTTTGTGCTGTGTGTCGGTAGGTGCTGGAGGAGTTGTGAGAATGTATCGACACATCTCACCGATGTAGTGAGCAGCCTGTAACATTAAACATGATAATTGTTATTCTATACTAATCTGTTATAGATCTAAATCCCACACACTTGTAATATTTCAGTCAACATTCGGCATCAATCCATTTGTTTACGTCTCCACATAAGTTAGATTCAAGTTAGTTCTACACGTACACGCCACACTATCAAATAGACCTATTATTGTAGTTCACACACAGTACACCCCTCTTGGTTACGATGCAGTGCGGTGTATACCTTGCGTTATTACTTTAGGTTTTTTGAATGACCGTTAACGCCGACTACGCTGTCATGTCTCCTTACCGTGTAATTTCACTGCCTCATCTCAACCTTCAACCGGAACACATCCTAGAAAATAACCTGCTTGGTGGCGACAAAGGGTAGTTAGTATACTATCACAATCAAATTTAGAGTATCAATATTATTAAGTATCTCTAACAGACTGGAAATTTATGACTGTCCATCATTGTATGAATTTCACACACACAATTTGGCACACACACACACACAATACTCTATAACGAATCCCCTTTTTTTGAGAAGAACTGTCTCCATCAAGCACATATAAATTAATAACAATCATAAATAAAGAAGTTTTTAAATAAAATATATTATAATTAAAATGATCACTAACCGTTGCGTTAAACTTGATGCAATCTGGGAAGTAGGAAGAAGCGGAGAATTTGGCTCTAATCGCGAGTGTGCAGCCGAAGATGAACGCCTGACCGACAGAAACACAGCCACCCGCCGAGTGATACAGCGGCATAGGACAATATATTACATCTGAACTATTTAATCCACCCAGGAAATGGTTGCCGGTGGACATAAACACCATCCTGAAAGTCACATTCCAGAAATATATAAATTGTATTATCGATGTACACTCAGTCATTAATTATAAAATAAAAAAAAATATCGATAGCTTAACAACATCCTTTAAACTTTTTGAAAAAAGAATATAGCAGCCAAAGTTTTATTATATGTATATATAGGGGGCGTCTATAAATTAAGAGAGTCACATATTAAGGGACAAGACAACAAAGACAAATTGGGGAGGGGAGTCTTGCAAATAGTGACATTGCAACGAACGGTAACTGGTGACACTGGTGAGTGACAAATCACGACTATTATTCCATTTAAATAACAGCGACCTCGTACCGAGTCCCTAGTGAATTGGAAAAATATCCATTACTCCCAACACGAGATTAATTTAGAGATTACGAATATATACATATAATATAGGAGTTGTGCTTAATACGTGAGATGTTCCATATTCACATACACACAGTCAGTCCTGAAATCCTACATATTTCATGGTCGCATTATATTTACTTCTTTATATACAAGACTGGTGATATACAGTACAGACTGTACTCTAGAATGCAATTTTGACTTTTAAACTGTTTCGAGACAGATCGTCGTCATAAATCTCCAAATCTTCAACAAGCCGAAAATACAACCAAAAATTTATGGCAAGAAACGAAGGCATTTGGCAAAAAAAGAACTTTTATTCGCCATACGAAATAGTCGGTGAAAGTTAGAAATCAAAATGTGTATTACAGTAATCAACACGTCTTTTAAAAAAACATTGTAGTTAATAGTTATGTGTACCTTGAAGAAGATATAATTGCAGCTTTCGGCAGTCCTGTAGTTCCCGATGTATAAATGTACAAAAGTTTCCCATTGAAGCCATCGCCCTCTGATTTGAACCACTGAGCAGCCGGAGTGGTCTCCAGTAATCCAGTGAAGTCAACTGGAGAATCATCTGCTACCTTCACGGTATAATTCGAAGGATTTAGCGGTCGCCGAGTGAATTTGTATAGTTTTATTGAAGGGTCTAATTCACCCCTTATCTCTTGAATAGCTAAAAGTAAAGATTAAAAGTTTTTTAATATTACAACTCATATCAAGAGGTATCCTTAGGAAGTCCAATAAAGAAAGAAATCATAATTATCTCTTTAAAAAAGTATTTATAATATTAAACATAAAAAGGGTCACCTGCTTTATTTTATTAAACGAATAGTAGATACTGGTAGCCTCTGTTGCTTCGTTTATTTTGATTTACAGATATCTTATGTAAATTATAGATAAATAAAAAATATTGACACAACAGTATAGTTAATATAAATTTATGAAACTGTAAAAATAAACATTTATTTACTGCTCAAATGCATGTAACATTGTCTTTTACAGAGGAAGGATGACGTGTTAGGTGTTTAAGTACTCACCAAGTACTGGGACAAGGGCAGGGCAATAAATATATTCAGTAATTATATAACAGTAAATAAACAAAGAGGTGTCCTTCTACTGCTTTTCACATGTATCAGCGAAATTTGACACAATATTGAAACCCTTGGCATTATCATATACATATAATCATCAAATGTTTATTTACTAATCATGTTTTTTCCTCTTGTATCACTGAACCGCAATGCTTTTATATACATAATGCAATCTCTAATACATACATCAAGATTACCTCAAGACCAATATTCTATTTTGTCAGATTTCAGACTATTTCGGTATATGCGTCGTATAATTTTAAATCAATACTGTTGTTCGTGTCTTTAGATGACTATTATATAGAATATTAAAGCAGAAATGGTACTGTATACCTAGTACAGATAAAATTGCAATATAGTAGACATGAATATAAGTGGGTATCTTGAGGACAAATGGTACGCGTTATGGATTAACAGGTCCATTACTTATGTCCTGAACTCTACGCTTTAAGGGGTTACATGGGTTTCACGGTTTCAAAAAATCGAAATTTTTTTTTGTCTTATTAAATTCTATAACATCTCTAGAATATTGTCCTAAATTTTCAAGTTGATCCGACTAATAGTTTCGGAGATACAGCCTTGAAAAGGTGGACGGTCGAGGTCAGGTATAGGCTGAGGGCGCAGTAGGTAAAACGCAGCTGCAGCTCATCTATTGTTAGCTGTAATTCTTGTCCCTTTTTTTCTTTATATAAGGTAAACTACTGGAAAATATTTAATTTGGTGATTTCTCGTTAAACTACGAAGTTAATTTTGAGGTTATAAGTGTTTGTTGTGAATTTTATTCGATAAAAAATGCCGTTTAAAGTGTCTAGAACCCAGACAACGGAAGGTGTTCGTATCAGCATTATTATTAATTATGCACGGTATGGACCTAAAACTTGGCCCAAATTCCCATGAATATGCCCGAAATATGGATGAAAACCGGGTGACCGCAGCCGAAAAGAAATCTACCAGCGAGACTCGTGAAGCCAGGATTCGTCATAGACTGGAGCAAAAGGATGCCCTGGACAATGCAGGTGCAGCAGGTTCTCTACTTTATGGCCCAGGAATCGACGACTCAATGTAAGTTAAACAAAAAAAAAAAATACCCTCTTTTATTGTCTCTTAAAACTTTAAACGCGTTTTTCTCAAAACTATGTTTTCAAAGACGGTTGTCAAGATTTCTCGCGAACTACTCAACCGATCTTGATGAAATTTTACACAGGTCTTCGAGATATCATTTACAAGGTCTTGAACGAAGGATTTTTTTTTATTTTAATTACAACTATTTTTAAAAAAAAAATGTCGAGAAATTTTCATCGAAATTTGCATTTTTTTTATAAAAACGTCTGCCAAAAATCCAATTTTCATTTATTTTTTTTTTCCTTCGTCCAATACCTAGTTTATTGTCTTTACTAAAACACGTATTTTTTATTTTTATTTCAGATGATCCTAAAAGAAGTTCTGCTGACAACGCGGAGGCACCTTTTTTCCGAGGGACTGCCGGAAATGGCGTCGTAATGACCGCCATTTTGATATTTTTTTTTGACAATTTTGCAAAATGTTTATTAAATATGTATCTTTTAAATAAAAAAAAATTCATTAAAATATTTCATTTTTTATATGTAAACAAGGAAACCCATGTAACCCCTTAATAGGTTTTTTAAATATTGAAAGACTACGAGTAAGTGAATCTTGAATATTATGGTTTCCTCTAGTCCCATGTGACGTGCCGTTCTTTACTGCTTGATCTTTATTGCCTTCTCCAAATATTTTTCATTCATCGTGTACCTACAATACATTTTATAGCTTGTTGGCCTTCTTAACAAGTTTTATATAAGATTCTCGTATCACAATGCTAATTACCATACTTCTCCGAAACAGCTTGACCGATTTTTATGAAATTTTATATGCATATTCAGTAGATCTGAGAATCGGCTACTATATATTTTTAATACCCCTAAGTGATAACCGTTGTCCATCGCTAATATTTTTTAAAACATTTTTATTTTTTATTAGATATTTTTTAACCCTAAATTTTCACGCTTCTATCACTAACCCCTGTTTTTTAACGGCGATTTTAATTCATATGGCAAAACTACGTTTGCGGGATTAGTTAGTTACTTTGTCAAAAATAGGTATACTAACCACTGTCAAATTCTGAGCCATAAATGATTGCGTCACACTTGGCAATGGTGAAAGAGTGCAGCAGTGTGTTTCCCGTTTGATTAGTGTTAATAAGGGGACTGACGCCTCCAAGACGACCAATGCCGAGCCAAGTGCACGGTAACTCCGGACAGTTGTTCATCATTACAGCCACGATACTTCCCTTCTTGACGCCCTCTTTTCTGAGTGCCGCACTAACTCGGAGACTGAATTGTTCAACCTAAGAAGTAGACAGAAATAGTATATACTGAGTGAAATGAGTTTCAAAAACAATTATAAAGCTAGAGATTTAAGGATCTAATCGAATATTACGGTATTTTTTTTTGTTTTTGTTACTATTACAATACCCTTTAATTTATATCAACATTTACTAAATTCTTTATATTTAGAATAGTAGGTACAGTAGTCTTTACAGGATGACATTGTAATTTTGTCACTAATCTAATGTCTATGTCTAATCTAAACTATATAATATTTATTTTATTTCGAATAAAAATTAAATGTATAATTTAATTTTTATTCGAATTAAAATAAATTATTATTATTATTATTTAATAGCTTGACATCGAAATAGTATAATAAAATTTATGATTACCTTTAAGAAAGACCATTTTTCATTTTCAAATAAGAAGCAAGATTTATCAGGATGCTTCTTCACCAGATCGTGGACAATATCTGGCATCCCCTTATTTTCTCTTTCCAGTCTTCGTGTTAACGACAGCAATCTTATATAACAGTACAGTGCCCTAAAATAATACACCAATTTAATATCTAAGTATACGTTCTTATCCTATATATGTAGGTAGACATTATTAATATAGTAATAAGCTAAATCCTCTTTCTTGACCTCACCTATATCAAACAGCGGTAATATATAATGTAACGACGCTAATAATGTCCAGATTTTTAGGCATGAGATTAGTGATCCCAATATTATAGCAACGGGCCATGTAAAGTCGCCTTCCACATCCAGTCAATCACGTTTAATTCTAGACTTAATGAATTCACCATGATGGACTCATCGTACCGACTTCATGTTTATCTTATCGTTATTCACTAGTGTCCCGTGTATATATACCGTTAGCATAGGATGATGCACAATTATAGCATCATGCATACAAAAAAGTATGTATGCGCAACCAGTAGGTACTTCATTCTTATTTATTTCTGAACCCCCCTTGGACATAACACATGTCTATTTGCGTTATCTCATAGTACTGTCCTAATATTATTGTATAGATGTACCTACGAGATTAATTCCAATACAATCGTATGTTAATCACGACTCAATTAGTAAGCATGTGTCAATTGATATTTGGACTTTTTTACAAGTGATAACACTAATAAACAAGTACTTTGTATAGGACTGACATTGTTCAAATACTAATCCGCTTCACGTCATTTCGAGACCCCTGCGTATTATAAGTTTCAAACAATAAAACACATAGTATCTTAATGTTGAAAATAAAGATAGAATGTGAAAGAAACGTTTGTGTATAATGTGAGGAAACAATTATTATAAAAGTACTTAGCATTTTGTGTTAGGATTCTGTCAGTATTTGATGTTTTAAATGAGGTTCTTCGCCATAAAAGGCTTGATTAGGCGAACTTCAATAAAAATCACAGTACAGTGAGACCCCGTACGACCCCGACATACGAGAATGTAGAGACCTTTTTGTTTATAAATTAAACTGTGTACTTACTTCAAATCTCTCGGTGCAGTCTTCAAGGCCACATACCACCACCACCAATTGAAAACAAACTGTAACACCACTATGCCTACACCCAGGACTATCAAACTGGTCTCCCAGTCCTGGTACAGCCAGGTCATAGCTGCGGCGGCACCCAGAGCAGCGAACGTAACCACCATGATTAGAACCTTGCACTGATTTGTATCAGAAGAATCGTCAATATATTTTCCTCTTTCCAGGTCCGCTCTGTTTGAATTTCCCTGTCATCACAAATAAATCCTATTAGGTACTGACACTATACACACAATAGTCCTCTTATCATTCAACATTTCGTAATTATTTGATTAGATAACCCTTACATTATTTTAGACTTCGCGCCGAGAATACTATAATTAATTGAACTTCCATCTAATTGGTATCGATTAAATTTTTTTATACTAGCAACACTATATGGCTTTGGATGCACAAATTAAGCGAAAAAATGTAATTAGGTATGTATCAGAAATCATTAACTAATTGATTGGTTCAATAAATAGGAATAGTATACATAATTAGATGTTCCAGCATAATTTTAATATATATAATTTAAAAAAAACAGATCTTATACAGTGAATAAATACTATATAGCAAAGCCTTCCTGCTAAGCTAAATATAATTATCTAGATAATTGGATAATAATTTAAAATTATGACTATTTTTAATATTGTATAATATCATAATATGTACAATTCCTGATTTATAAAATACAAACGTACTTGCTAACGACATCAATATTAATAATGTATATTTATTTTCTTCACAAAGTAACGTCACTTTTCACAGAACTGATAAGCCTTGAAAAACTCAAATATTATTTGTTCCAAATTATATATATCATATTTATATACATATATATGTACAACCTAACATACTAAATTTATGATGTATTCTACACTTGTATCTAATATCCATTGTATCCGAAAAAGAAGCACTGTAAATGTATAAAAAATAAAATTATCATATGTTATAGGCATTCGGAAGTAGATATTTATATACGTTTTTGTGATATGCAATCTATATAGATGATAATGATACATACTTAGTCGGATAGATACTGTAGGTAATTTGGCCATCATACCTAATTAGACGTAGTAGATACATTCCTATAGTTTAAGTTCACTGTTCAAAATATACACCTAACTACCTAATTAAGACTACGATTATAAAAAAATAATAGCATACTTACTAATATTTTGAAAACAAATTAAATGGAACTATATTTCTATACTTAAATATTCACAGAGTATACTGAGCACATACTTATACGCGTACACTTAACAACGGTATGAAGCTACTAAATGTTTTAACATGAAATGCTCACATTTCCATACAAAAGACTAATGTTACATAAAATACTTAAAGTACTTCTTTTAAGTATATCTATAATATATTAGCAAGTAACAACATAGACTTGAGGTAAATAATCTAAAATATATAAATTTTATTTATATTAGTACCAAAACAAATTAAGCATTGGCAAGAAATTAGGTACAATATCAGATCGACCTCCACGACAATTCCCTCGAAATATCATGGTGAATTTGACTTCAATCTGATAACATGCTTAACCTATCGTCCTCCACTGGTGCCCATCAATCATATACGGTTCTCGGAGATGAGTGCACCATTCTATTACCACCGACTAAATATATACAATTTTGTATATATTTGATAAATAATAATTGTAAATATTGTATACAATTTTATTATATACAGGATCATAAAGAGCATACAAGAGCAGCGAGGTAGACTATTCAAACAAACTGAATCATTTTAAGATTAAATTTCAATAAACTGATGTGAAAATCTGAAAACAAATTTTGAACTTGACTGTGCCGTTTATTTCGTAGGGAAATTTCAGTTTCATGTAAACTATCATTGACTCTTGCCCTGTATAAGTCACATAATATAAAAAAAACATTCACAATGACAGATTAGATGAAAAACTGAGTCGTAGTTTTACCTGTGATATTTTGTTTCCGTTATTATTAACGTTGTTGTTCGTCATTGTACCAGAGGACAGATTTACAATTTTACGTAACGTATTGTTCACACTAAATTATATTATAGTTGTCTGAAATCTTCGCCGAGCGTCATTCTTGTTGGAATATGATTTGGTTATTAATTATTCTCATATACCTGAAACAAAGATGAAATATGTAAATAAATATATATTTTTTACGTTGGTACATAGCAACGGTGGGTAAGAACGTTCTCGAATTGCCAACATCGTGATAACTGATCTAGACCTCATATTGCAACTTATTTTTTATTATATATTATTGGTATTTTTACATTAAATGATGCCTCTTGCACATAAACTGATGCCATTTAAATTTGTGGCATATTAGTATAAGATATACTATAATGCTGACTTTTTGTAATTGTTTTTCTTATTATAAATTAATATTGTTTTCGTAAATTATTAATATATAATAATATTAATTTATTGCTATTAATACTTTTTCTTTCTTTCGAATAACGAAGTTGTACAGCTAAACCCAGTATAAGACGACATCTAGCTGTGAGTATATGAAACCGTCTCTTATTGAAATAAAACATATTGAATAACATCTCGAACATCAGAAGTAGGCCATACCATAACTTTCATCGACAGTCTGCAACACACGGTGCGCATTGTTGTTTTATCGCAAAAATTCTTGTTGATTGCCTAATTTATAGATATGGAGACCTAACAGATACAATCACATTTAAATATTTTGATATCAATTTATTAACATAAAAAAACGTTGTTATGCCGATAAATAGGTATATAACTAAGTATGAAGGCATTTAGTTTAAAAGAGATACAAAATATAGTATATATTTATTAGGATTGTGATACATTTTGGTTATTTTATTTGTCTTATAACAAAAATGGCTAGTGACCTGATATTCTACCTGACGGTAAGTGCAACCATACGTCGCCTATATACATGAACAAAATGCCTTATTAGTTGCCATCCGAGAGGAATCAGATGTCCTACCTCTGTGCACCTGTAATTTTACTGCCATATCTCACCTTTAACCAAAACACAGCTTAGAAAGCAAGCTGTTTCGCGGCGAGACAGGATTATCCAAACCGACGATATTCTACAAAGTCAATATTGGTTTATTTTTTTAATATTCCTATTATGTGCCTTATGAAAGCACATAATGCAAAATAATAAAATTTAGCGCCTGCACGAATTATGTTTCTACATTATCATGAATGTGTAGTGTGTAATCTATGCTATAATAAAATAAGTAGGTAAGAACCTACTCGAATTTAATGTTTCTGATTACAAAGACGAGGCTAATTGTAAACAATAGAATTTCTAACCACATAACATTAGTAATTAATGACTTTGCATCTCTATTAATATCCTTACGATATTACATTTAGTGTGTATGCAGCATATTATGATACAACCCTACACAGTTTGAACAAAGAAGACGTACGCCAACGTATATGTAGGCATGACGGAAACCATCTGCAATGAAAGTGAGAGGCAGCCTTTTGTCACTAGTCACTACCAAACATGAACTAAACCGACAATGTATGATTCAACGCCATTTTGGATTCTATACAGGCACATAGAAGAATGCTTTTTTCCGTACTCATGCGGAATATTAAATTTTCATAAGAACGGACAAAAAGTGAATACCTGATAAAAATGCTTGAGACTATATGTACCTTATTTATGTTTACATCACCTACAGATACCTGCCAGTATAAATACCAATGCACTCAGCATTGGCATTTGCATGATATACACGATGCAATCTACATTATTTTTTTGTACCAATCTCATGAACTCATTAATACGCGGTACCTAATAATAACTGTCAGGGGTCCATTGGTACGTCTCCACCACAAATCGTTAGCAGCGGCGATTATTAAAGATTAAAAAACATAGCAGTATATTTTTGTTACACTGAACTATGTAATATTATGTTATCTGTGCACTGAACACAAAAAGATCACGTTCCAATAATGTGCAAGGATCACTATCTCCTCTTCACAGTGCGTATTATATTAAATAGACAGACAATGATAGGAGATAAAGTAGAAGTACAGTGACGTATATACATAAAAATCCAATAAATGTGTATAGGTACTCGTATAATTATGTAAATACTGTAAATATAAATTATATAAATAACTATCTAATTATAAACACTGACGTTTTTGAAATCGGTTGAAATAATTATAGTTCACGTTAAATGGAGGTATTTTTTTTGTTAGACCTACAAAGAGAGTCACTGGCTGTTTTTATATATTCTTTTATCCATATTTAAAATATGATGTTCTGTATATACAATTGTTTTATAACACTTCTGTCACGCTCTGCTATAATAAACGTCTATACAAGCATCTCTCTATTTTCATTCATTTTACTTTTTTTGGTTCGGGGTTTTAGGCTAGATTTTCGTTGGGGGTCTGGTGCTACGACATGCGACCTGCATAGTCCATTGTGCTCGCCTTTTTTCAAAATTCACTGCCTAGACCAGTGAGTGACAAGAATTGAGAAAGGATATTCTGAATTCTTGTCTTGAATGGAGGTAAAATTATAATATTACAAAGAGATCAACTAAAGATAAATTGTTTTTGAATAATAAAAAAAGAATATTTTCTTGGTAATAACAACATTATGACGTCAATGTGGTAAAATGTCGAACAGAATATTTTTCCATTTAGCCTTACTATTGTAAATAAAAATATAAGTCCATATCGTACAAAACTAATATTGATTCACCTATGTGAAAGGATGTTTTAACATGTCTGCCCATTGTTTAGCTATAACTATAATCCGGTTATATAAGTTTCAAGAGAGTTGTGACGTTGTGGGATTTACCATCCCGGTTTTGAACGAAAGGTCGTGAGTACCAATCTGGTCTACAATAAAACTAATTTAGCTCAGTTATTATTATATATATATAATTAAAATAGTTAAGAGAGCGTCGTAGCCTAGTTGCTTACTACACTGAATTAAACCAATGAGGTCGTGGGTTAAAATCTGGCTGAAATAAAAAAAAACAAAAAATTGTGTAATATACACTTTTTTTTTATTATTAACTTTAGCCACATTATAATATAAGTTATTTGTTATAGAATATTTAGACAGACTTTCCGCTGATGGAAACACAGATAACAAACTAAATTAATCCAAATGACAGCGGAAGGCAGGCTCCCTGCAGCGTTAGATTTAAATATTATTCAAAGTGTTGTGTTGAACATGTCGTCTACATTTAATAATACCCCTTTTAGGATGACAATCGTGAAAATACATTAGTATAATGATCTAGTTATTTATTTCATTGCTTTTTATTACCTATATGTAATTAATACAAAGCTATTTTTAATTATCTTGTTTCATATGATTAGTGTAATTCCTGGATAAAAATTAAGGAATTCCATCATAAGCTGATGACGTGAGTTTGAAATTGTGACCTAACCGAATCTCGTGTCTTACGAAATCTGCACCGCCGCGGAACACGCAACGATCTTTCATCATAGTCAAGTAGTTAAACCATAGTCAGTATATAATATATAGTCAAATCAGTTTGTGATGATTCCGAGCAAATTTTATGAAATTATAGAAGATTTATGTTAAACTATGTTAGTTTAAATTATTTTTTAAACTTTTTATTTATTATTAATACCATTTTTATATTTTTAATACCACCAACAATTATATCTATTAAAATACTCATATAAAAATATATATACTAGTTGTCCTAAAAGTTGAACTCTACAGAAATAGGTTGTAGAATTGAAGAAAAAAATAATAGTGGTAATTAATATTTGTTGTATAAGTGGCAAAAAAGGCTTTCACAAATGTATTATTAAAACTGTGATTGCAAAAAAATTTGGGTACGACTGTCGTACCCACCAGGGCGGAAACTAGATTAGTTTAAATTATTTTTTATTTATTATTAATGAACCATTTTTATATTTTTAATACCACCAACAATTATTAAATCTCATATAAAAATATATATACTAAAAGTTTCTAGGAAGAAATAGCTTGTTGAATTGAAGAAAAAAATAAAGTGGTAATTAAGATTTGTTGTATAAGTGGACGTTATAGTCGATTTAACAAAACTTTCACATACCCTAATACGATTTTTTTATATATTATATTAATTTAAGAAATATTCTAGTAGTTCACTAAATTGTTAATTTGCAATAAGTTTCAAATACATTTTATACATAGATATTTCTTTTTTATTTATGAACCCGCTTTTTAAATAAGTTTTTATATTTTTCATTGCGTTCATTCCAGCTTTCACCTTAACATCATCGATACTAGTTCGAAGATAATTATGCTATGGTATTCAGTAACTATAATAAGTATCATTGTGTAAATTGAACCCATTATGTTTAGTATGTTAATCCTTTAAGTAACTTACAAGAACATACATACATAACTAAAGCATACAACAGAAATTAACAGAAACACATTAAGCTCTTTAACGTTAATGTTTACATAGTCAATGTATTGATTTTAACATAGGTGACGTTTTTTTTATTTGTGGAACCCACTGTACTTCTAATAACAATTATAGAACGTGTAATTATATCACGTGAAGGAAAAAAAACTTCATTCCATATTTTCCCATTCCATTAAATAATCTTGCTTAGTAAAAAAATCATATCCTAATTGTGAAGCTTATGGAAAAGAAATTACGCTCTGAAATCAAATAGTTTTGACGAATTTAATTAGAATTAAATAAATATTAGTAGGTAGGTAGGTAGGCGTGTTATTCCACAGAATATTGGCGTGCCAACTTCGGATGTAGCTGAGTTATTGTTCTGGCGGGTATCGCACTAATTTAACTTCATTGTTTTTCTTCATTTAGTATAGATTAGTTATAAGCATATTTTTATAGTACGAAAATCTCAAAATAAGAAAAAGGAGAAATGAAAACGTAACAGAGCACTATCTTTTTATGTTCAGTTCATGAAACCAATTGTCTTATCTGTGATGAAACTGAATGACTAGGTATTTCTGTAAAAATCTGATACTACGCAATGGTTCGGGTTACGGCTACTGTTTAAATTATTCCCATCTCATAAAAATGCAATTACATATGCTGGCGGTCACTACATTTTGCCTAATTTAATTTAAACTTGAATCTGTATTTTGATCATGTCATCATCATGTACAAGCTCATTTGAAAAAATAAATGTCGAGTTTCTTGTTGGTTTTTCTTAGCTCGATAGCACTTCGAACTGACTAGCAGATTTAACATTTTTAAAATTCATTGATTTGATTGGTCACCTCTCATTGTCATGTATATATGTTCGATATATATGGTAGACGTACCACTCGTTAATAATATAAGGACAATTTGTTCGCAAACACGTCCAAAATTAGTAAATATTTCTAACAGGTACCTTCTACGTATAAGTCAATGATATTTGTTTTGTTAAATAATCGTGGGTTCTTCCCTGCTTTAGTCAAATATGTAGGTAAATAAATTAAAAATAGAAATCTATACTTAATCTGTAAGGAATGTTAGTACAAGTATATTTGTAGTAATTATAGGTACTATATTGATAAACGGTTGTCGTTCATCTTCTTTTCGTTTCATGCAAATTGCAAACACGCAGTTATCATCTATACCTAACTCACTCCTTGCATCTAATGTCATAATGTAGTTGTTACTGCATAGATCATGTTTTATAACATACTAGCTGTTACACGAGATTTTGTTTACTTTTTTAGGATATTCAAGTTCCGTTCAGCCGTTTCATCTTCTTCAACTCTTTTAAAACGTACATTATTAAACTTCTATTTTAGACCAGTTAATAAAATTAATATTATACTCGTGCTTCGTTCTCGAGATTAGTAACCTGTAAAGTAATAGAATATATGTAGTTACACGTAAGTGACACCACTTTGCACTGAAATGTGTAGGTATTAATGAATTAATTTTTTTTTTTTGAAGGTACCTGACATTTCTTATTCGGTTGTCTCACATTGTAGCTTCATTCACGTTTCAGTGCTCGACCACTGCGCACGTCTCACTGTCTATACTAACGGTTGTTAAGTTTTCTTAGTGCAAAAATGCCAAAAAGGAAGAATTCCGATAACGATTTAGATAGTATAAGTAAGAAGATAAAAAAGCTAGAGAAAAAATTAAAACGCATGCGACGGCGTCGTATCAGTGATAGCAGCTCTCATGATTCAGCACCCGCTTCCGATGAACAAGCAAGTAAGTACCTGAATACTTCTATTTTTCGCCATATAAAGTACCGAACATGGTTGTCTAGTACATATTAACAAAAAAAAAAAAAAGTTACATTTAGAGTCCGAATTCTAAATAGAATATTCACAAGTATTACAGCAAGTCTCTAGTAGAACAGGCATATGGAAACATTACATTTTCCATACCAATTAAGTAGGATTAGTGAGTACTAACCCATTACAGAACTGGAACAGTTCTCCTATATACATACACATATCATTGATATTTTTAAGGTCTTACACAGTTAAGATTAATCTCTGGGATTGATCTGTTGTGTAATAGACCATGCCACCATGGCATAATCTCACATAGCCTACCAAAACAGTCTTCGGGACTGTTATTCAAGGCATTATAAACGGTTTCTCACAAAAAAGGGCAGAATATGGTAGAGATATTCACAAAGAACTTGCAAATCGCCTCCAACATATTGCGACTGATGGGCTGACTAAGGAAACCCGCAGAGAACTATGCAGCAAATATCTAATACCTGCAAACAGTACAAAATTTGCTGCGCCACTCGTAAACGCCGAAATAAAAGCGGCACTATCTGAAATCACAATAAAACGTGATAAAGGCATAGAATCGCGCCAGAAACAACTTGCATCAGCAATCTCTGGGTTAGCTGGTGTACTCAATCAGGAGCTAAATTCTAAAGACAGGGATAGCTCACGCCTTAAAACTTTAATGGACGTTACTCGCATTTTATGCGATATACAGCACGCCGAATCTGTCACCAGACGCTATCTAGCAATGAGCACAATAAAAAAGGACCTCCGAGAGCACTTAACTAATACAAAAATAGACAAATATCTTTTCGGTGAAAATCTCAGCGAAACACTGAAAACCGCAAAAACGGTCTCTAAATCAGGCTCAGATTTAAAAATAAAAACCCAAACCAGACCTTACCTACAAAACACAACGGGAAATTTAAACTACAAAGCTCCGGTCCTAGCTCGCAGGCAACAACAAGGACCACAACGGAGCCGCGGGCCTGCTCCTCGCACGACAGGTCCACGACAGGGCCGGTACTCACAGAACCCGACGCACTTCAACTCGTCGAAGCCGTCGCAACCTCCGCCGAAACCCTCAGGACGTCGTTAAACATGGTAAAGTATGCCGGTCGACTTTCATTATTCTATAAACAGTGGGCGCTCATTACCGATGATCCCACTATACTATCATGGGTGAACGGTTACAGAATTAAATTCTCTTGTCCTCCTGTACAGAAACACGAACCAATAGTGGGCCAATACACCGACATTGAGAAAAGTCAATTCAATATGGCAATAACCGACCTATTAAACATGGGGGCCATTACTGAATGTTGTCCCGATAGGAATCAGTTCCTTTCAACAGTATTTCTTCGACCTAAACCTAATGGTAAATTTAGATTTATATTGAACTTAAAACAATTAAACAAATTTATTAAAACTGATCATTTCAAACTCGAAGACTTACGCACAGCGATTAAATTAGTTACCAGCAATTGCTTCATGGCAACACTGGATTTAAAAGATGCATATTTTTTAATTAAGGTGCACACAGACTCAAAAAAATACCTAAGATTCAAATGGTCAGGCAAAATATATGAATTTAATGTCCTACCATTTGGCTTAAACACCGCTCCATATACTTTCACAAAAATTATGAAACCAGTCATTAAACTTCTGCGCATGTGTGGCCTCTTATCCACAATTTATCTCGATGACTTATTTTTATTGGGACAAACATACAGTGATTGCGAACGCAACCTATTAATCTCTAAAAAATTATTACAAAGTCTCGGCTTTATAATCAACGAAACAAAAAGTAATTTCTCACCAGCAACAAAGTGCACATTTCTAGGCTTTATTATAGATTCAATAAAATTTAATATTACCTTGCCCGATGATAAAAAAGTATATATACAAACAGAACTCACCAAGGTGATAAAACTGAAACGATGCTAAATTAGAAAATTTGCACAAATAATAGGCCTTCTGGTATCCGCTTGTCCCGCTGTTGAATACGGTCTACTCTATACGAAGGAATTCGAACGGCACAAATATTTATACCTTAGAGAAGACCAAAATTATGATAAGTACATGCCCATACCAAACAGGTTATTACCTGACTTCAACTGGTGGTTAAAATGTATCAAATCATCCTCACGAAAAATTAGAATCGATGAGTATCATCGGGAGATATATACGGACGCCTCTACCACAGGATGGGGAGCGGCTTGTGGCGAAAATACAGCCAGTGGGTCATGGACAAAGGAAGAAAAGAAGAAACATATAAACGAGTTAGAGCTAATGGCTGCATTGTTTGGGATAAAAATATTTACCAAAGACCTCAGTAATTGTCAAATACTAATTCATATAGATAATTCTACTGCAATTGCTTACATAAACCGCATGGGTGGAATACAATTCCCCCACCTCACAAAAGTGTCCAAAGACATCTGGAAATGGTGCGAAGATAGAAATTTATATATATATGCTTCATACATAAAATCCACAGATAATGTAATCGCTGATGCAGAATCCAGACGAATACATCCTGATGCCGAATGGGAGCTAACTAGCGAAGCATTTGAACTGGTTACGAGTCAGTTTGGAACCCCAAAAATTGATTTGTTTGCTAGTCGAATTAACGCCAAATGTAGTAATTTCGTATCCTGGCATAAAGACCCGGATGCCATAGCCATAAACGCCTTTACCATTAAATGGTCAAAGACGTACTTTTATGCTTTCCCTCCATTTGCGATCATATTAAAAACATTAAGAAAAATCATATCAGACAAAGCAAGGGGTGTCTTGTGTGGGGGTGCCCCATCTTCCGTAAATTACTCGTGACAAATACTATAATTTTTAAAAATAATACATGTATTATTATGCCTCCCAGCAGCAGCCAGAACTTGCAGTCGAAGCTTACCCTGGAAGTCGGAGTGTTGTGCGGGCAGCACTATCGCGACGCAGTATACCAACCTCTTCGTTACAAATTATGATGGCCTCACTAACTGATAACTCTTACAAACAATATGATATAGCATTTAAGAAGTGGTTTGTTTTCTGTAACAAACATAAGGTAGATATTTACGAAGCATCCATTCCGATTATTCTGGCCTTCCTTGCAGAAAGTTACAATAACGGCTGTCAATTTGGCACTCTAAATTCATACAGATCTGCACTCTCACTTATATTAGGGCCCCGTCTAGCAAAAGACGACCGACTAACACGATTTTTTAAAGGTGTATACAGGCTACGTCCACCCCTGCCTAAATATGACGTAACGTGGGATACAGCCCCAATACTTGACTGCCTTGGCACTATGTACCCTAACGACCAGCTGTCTTTAGAAGATCTCAGTAAAAAATGCGTTACCTTATTAGCTCTCACTTCCGCACATAGAGTACAGACATTAGCACAAATTAATATAAACAATATTGAACATCTACCCACACGGATTGTAATTAAAATACCAGACAGAATAAAAACTAGTAACCTGGGCTCCAAGCAACCCCTTTTAACTTTACCATTCTTTTCAGAAAGACCTCAAATATGCCCCTGTATAACATTGGTAGCATATATGGAAAGAACTCAAGCCTTACGCAAGAACAATAATAAACTGTTTATTGGCTTTAAGAAACCCCATAATAACGTAGGACCGCAGACCCTAAGTCGGTGGATAAAATCAACACTTCAAAAATGCGGAATCGATGTCTCTGTTTTCACGGCACATAGTACCCGACATGCTGCCACCTCAAAAGCTTACAATTGTGGCATATCTATCGACATAATTCGAAAGACGGCTGGATGGAATGGTTCTTCAAGTACATTTGGAAAATTCTATAATAGAACTATCATAAACAATAACAATGATGGTTCATTTGCTAGAGCCATCCTAAATAATAATTAAAGAGTTTAGAAATTATTATTAATCATCAATCTAATATATGTATTTGATTTATTAATTGTATGTTTATTTACTATTTGTAGAGGACATAATTTTTTGTTCATTTATTAGGTACTACTAAGTACACAACAAATGATTACAAATTAGTGGTTACGAATTATCTATAATTATGAATTCATTTAATCTCCTTATAATAATAAAATGATAATAAAAATAACGAGTTTATTTTAATCTTCATTATTTTCTGAACTAACTTTCAAAATCTACATATATTCTATTACTTTACAGGTTACTAATCTCGAGGACGAAGCACGAGTATAATTGATGATTAAACGAACTTACACAAGTGAAGTTCTATCATAATTATACGAAGTGCTTCGTCCGAAGAGATTAGTAACACATCCCTCCCTCCCCTACCCGAACAATAAGTTCAGAAAATATAAAATAAAGAAACGACTCTGAACTGAATGAAGCTACAATGTGAGACAACCGAATAAGAAATGTCAGGTACCTTCAAAAAAAAAAAAAATTAATTCATTAATACCTACACATTTCAGTGCAAAGTGGTGTCACTTACGTGTAACTACATATATTCTATTACTTTACAGGTTACTAATCTCGAGGACGAAGCACTTCGTATAATTATGATAGAACTTCACTTGTGTAAGTTCGTTTAATCATCAAATAGTGATCATTTGTTACGTGTTGGCTGTGATTTTACCTTATTATTTTTAAAATATAGTCAGTCTGATTCATATTCAGTGTTTCTAAACTCCGATTGCAATGTAAGCAAATAATACTTAAAAATATTTTTCAACGATTAAGGATATATCCTTGGAAGAATTGTGTTTACAACAAAAATGTAAAATTGTAGAACAAGCAGTAGGTATATTAATATCAGTATTGTTTAATCATCATTTGCATTATAAAGTCTAGACCATTTTAACTCTATATTATACGAAATTCAATTTGATATAACTACCTATCGTATACGTAGAATATATATCGTTGTTGCTATAATATTTTATTACTTTGTTAATAATGCATAGTGCGAACAGAATTTAACAGTGATTTTATTTTCAATAGATAGTCAGTAGGTACATATTCACATCAATTCAAGCCTTTCAATTTCAAAGTTATCAGTAGTGCTGTGCTCAAAAAGTGAAAGTATCTATCTGATTGATGCATCTATGTGAAAGTCTAAAACCACTAAGAAAGGCTCTGTTACATTTTCCCCATAAATAATCTTTAATATTTCTTCATATCAAAATCAATGATCTGAGTACTCGAAAATGTTATACATGAACACGTTAGTCAATAAGGTAAGAAAGATAAATAATTAGAGGACATGGCCCTTATTTATTATTACGCTTTCAATGTTGACATCCTGAAATGAATAATTGTTAATGTCATACAGATACTGATAGGCCCTGCCTATTATATGTTGTATGAATCTTCTATATATTAACAATAATTTGCTTAGGCAGACAGTATAATAGACGCGTTTACATCACTCTGAAGTAATATATCAAAGAGTAAAAGAATTTCATCCTCAGCCCATCGACTAGTATCTCACCGTACATACCAGTAAGCAAATTTCTCAATTTGATCCTGAGTTTATTTTCCTCATAACAAAATACACTTTTCTTTATGATAATAGTACAGATACCTAGTTAGTATGTAATATTATTTTATCTGTATTTATTAGAATTACAAGAGTCGAGGTTCGATGTATAGACGTAGAATTTAGTATGCAGAAGGATATAATTACATCGGTCAATTTAAATTTCTTAATAACAAAATTGCATGCGTAGCTACTCGTATTATAATATGACCACGGCTTCAATACCGGATAATCTGACATTTGTCACTTCTTTATATGCATATTACTAGTGGAATATAATTAATTCTGTGGTAGCATTCAAAGAATAATCAGATTTATTAACAATATTTACGATAACCAAGGGTTAGTAGGAAATTTATATTGACGTAATGAACCACAACGCTAAACGAAGTTAGCGGGTTTTTATGCAATTGACGTCACCATAAACCCGTTTAATGAAATGCATTTACAATAATGTAAAGTCCAATTTTTAGTAGAACATAAGTAATGAACATCGCGAAATATAAATTATTTTTTGTCATCGTACTTTCTTATAAAAAAATCGTATATATTGTTATAGCTTATCATAGAAACTATACCA